TGGCAGCCGGCTTGGCTGTACCCATTGCAGGGCTCCCGTGGGAAGCTGGGTGAGGCTTTCCATGACCCCTGTTTTGGGAAACCTCTGTGTGGTGGCACAGCTTTCCCTGCTCTGTCACGAGCAGGGCTGGCTGCAGCTCTGCAGGCTGGAACATGTGTTTAACAACAAACCCTTGCAGACATCATTTGGGACCGTCTGTAGCTCGCTCTTGAAAATGTTTAAGACTTTGCTTTGTTTTAAGACTTTTGATCTTTCTTTAAGCTCAGCCTCTTCAACTTTTAGAATTTATTGGGATTTGGTTTCAGCTGTGTAAGGCCACTGGTTGCTTTTTGGTCTGGATTTTTATGCTGGGAGCCAGCTGATGGGTCATCCTCTGGGACATCGGGGTATTTGTGATTATTTTTAGCCTTTAATTGGCAGTGATCTGTACTTGGAGCTGCAGAGTGTCAAGGGCTTTTCTCTTTGTGCTCTCAAGAAGCTTTCCTTTCTCTTTCATCTGGATGCAGCTGTGTTTCTCTTCTGCTCACAGAGCACAGAGTACATGGAGAAACCAGCTCCAAGAACCATCCCAAGGCTGGTGGGGCTCAGGGAGCAGCACCCAGGGATGCCCCAGGACACCTGGACCCTGTCCCGAGCAGCACCATGGCCCTGCTCCCTGACCTTCACCAGCCACTTCCCTGCTCCAGGCTGTTATTTTTTCCTCTCCTTCCCCTGTTTTGTCTTGCCCCGTTTAGCTGTAACCTCTTTTGGGCAGGAACACGGTGTGTGTGTTCACACAAAGGGCTGAGAACAATGTGCCCCAGATGGTTTGTACAAGTGCCTTCTCGGCAGCCACGGGGCTTCATTCTACAGGAAAGAAATTCTTAAAAATACAACTCCTCAGCATCTTATACTTGCAAATGTGAGCAGGAACTTCCCGAGCCGTGATATTTTGGTCCAAGTCACAGAGACAAGGGGTAGCACTAGAACTGCACCTTTTATTTTTTTAAGGAAAAAAACAACTCCCCCCAACCCCAATTCCCCTTTTCTAACCCTTACATCTGCAGGGAAAAGCTTGTAAATGTGACTGAAGCAGCTCTGACCTGCTTAAAACCAGATGGCAAACAATATTTTAACAAAAGCACTGTGAACTCCCTCTTTAGGAGTCAGAAGTTGTGTGGGCTTGCCCCGTTTTTATGGCACTTCCAGTGCTTCTGAGGTTCTGTTTTGGGGGTGCTCAGGCACTTGCACTTGCTTGCAGTTTGTCCCCCTTCCAGGATCCCTGAGCACTGGCACTGCAAACACCACAGAGCACTGCTTATTTACTTTAAGACCACAGCTTGCTTTGGAATTTCTTCTGCCAAACTTCAGGCCAATTCATTTTTTTTTTCTTATTTATCCCACTCCCTCCCAAAGAGGGAAACAAGTTTTCTTAGTCTCATCTTGCATCAGATTTGATTCCAGGCCAAGAAATCCAGCCTAGAAGGTGCTTTCCTGAGGCTGCTTGCCTCACTGTGACCTTTTGGGAGAGGATTCCTGTGCAAAATGGAACAATGTGATATCAGTTTATCCAGGGAACCTTCCCCCATGGTGCTGCTGCCTGGGGAGGATGGGTCAGGTCTGGGTCCCTGTTGCCTGTTGAAAGGCTGCTGTGTTTTAACAAACACGGGGGTTTTTTGCTCCAGAGCAGTGGGAGTCCTGGGATTTTACCAAAAGTTTCTGTTTCTAATTAGGTTGCTCTCAATTTTAAAGGCCAGTGATCCCTTTATGGCACAGGGTGGAAAACCTGAGCAGTCACTGACACTGCACAGAGGTGGGTCCTGCTTTTGTCCCAAGGTCCAGGGAGCCACTGTTTCTCCTTGGCACTCCTGAGATGAGACATTAATTCCTCCCAGCCCTTGGCTCATCCACGGGGGAGGCTGGTGGGCAGAGTGTGAGGGAGCATCACTTGCCCTGGCCAGACTCACAAGGATGTGGTTCCTGCTGCTCTGACCACCCGGCTTGGGAAAGGGGGAATTGCAGCATGGCAGTCCCAGCGTGGGGGCTGGGCTGTGGCCTCGCTGGCTGTGAATCTGGCCCAGATGCCTGAAATTGGGGTTTGGAGCTGGGCCCCTCCAGAAGGGCAGTTCCTGAGGCTCCACAGGCAGCACCAGAGTTGTGCTGTGCTGCTCCCTGCGTTTGTCTGGGCTGGGAGAAGGCAGCATAGTCTCCCTGTGCTCACAGGAAACAGGATTTAATTTTTCCCTTCTGTCTCACTTCATTGTCTGAAATTCCCTTGCAGAGGCTGGCCCATAACTCTTCAAAGAAAATAATCCCAAGCGCAGGGGCTGGAGCTCCCTGGGCTCTGGCTGTCGGCCGCCTGACTGTGCAAACAGTCTGGGCCTGGAATCCCCTGGGACTGAGCATAAAGGTCTGATTCAGAAGGAAAACAGGTTATGGAGCAGCAGGGCCTGTGCATCACTGGCTGCTCCCCTTTCCCAGTGTGTGGCTGGAGCCATGTCCAGGGAAAGGAGTTGCCTGCTCTGGGAGCTGGGAGCCCATGGGAGAATGGCTCCCGATGTCCTGTGGAGGTGGGAGAAGCATGAGGAGGTCGGGAGGGCAGCACCATGTGCTGAACCCCGAGCGGAAATTATTGGGGGAGCAAAGAATGAGCAGGATGTCACGTGTGGGCCGTGTGTGCTCGGGGCTGGGGCAGAACAAAGCACAGGGAAGCCCTGCTCCTGCCGCTCCCACCCTGCTTCCTGCTGGCACGGACACGCTGCGGGGGGAAGGGAGCACCAGGCCAGGAGCCAGCCCGTGCCTGCCCACCCTTGGAGAGCTGGAAGGCTCCCCGTGCCTCAGTTTCCCTCAGCTGGGGTGTGCTGGGTGCAGCAGGATGTCCCCGGTTGTTGGTGTGCTGGGGTGGCCTCAGGGGGCCAGGCTGCTGTGCTCTAGGGATGTTCCAGAGGTGTTGGATGGAGCCTGTGGGGACGGGAGGGGGTTCCCATGAAAGCCTTATTGTCCTGTGCTTGAACAGTCAGGTTCCACAAGTGGGACCCCAGCACTCTGTGCCTTTGGAGCAGCTCTGGTCTCTCCTGGAGAGCAGTGGCAGTGTGCCAGGATGCTGTGGAAAGTGAGGATTCTGTGTCAGGAGGGGGCTGGGAGCAGGACAGCCCTAAGGGGCTGCCATGGGGGCTGTCCTGCCCCTGGATCCTTACACAGCCAGTCCTTCCTCCTGCTGAGCTCTGGCTTTGGTGACTTTTTCCCTCTTTTTCCCTGGGTTGCTCTTAGAGCTCCCACATTTCCCTCGGTGCACCCTTGAGCACGAGAAGCTTTTTTTTTTTTTTTTCTGTTATTAATAGCTATTGAGAGCCAATAAAAAGTTTTACAGGGTTTGGCCAAGCATCAGAGCTCACAGTGTGTTCATTTCCTGGAGCTGAGCGCTGGAGGGGGGATTTGCTTGGTTAACCCACGGAGTCAGCTGGAGCCTGCAGTGCTGGGGGCTCCTGGGAAGCTTTCAGTGGTGTCACAGGGGCCTGGAGAGGAGCAGAGGGAGGGGGAGAGCGTAAAGGAGGGGTGGGAGGTTGGCAAGCGTCAAGCTGGGAGCAAAACCAGAGTGGGGGGGAAAATGGAGGTGTGGGTCTCTCATGTGCCCCCCCAGTGTGTGCCCAGATTCCCTGCTTCACCCCCTCTGTCCGTGTTCAGCTTCCTGACCTTCCTGCCTCCCACACGGGCATCCCTGCAAGGAGGGACCCAGCCTGACCTTCCCCCATTGCAGGAGAGTCCCACTCTGCTGGAATGCTGGAGGGAGGGAGAGTGCAGTTCCTCCTCGGGCATCTGGTTCCTTGAGCTCAGAGCCATCGATGGCTCTTTTCATCCCAGTCTTGTGTCCAGAAGGAAGCAAGGGGTTGGTTTGGCCTTGGTGTTGAGCTGTTGTACCCACGTGAGGACAGGCAGCTGCACAGGGATGTGTGTGGAGCCAGTGTCATGGAATCGTGGAGTAGTTTGGGTTGGAGGGATCTTTAAAAGGTCACCTCATCCAGCCCCTGCCATGAGCAGGACTGTGCACATGGGAACGAGCTCCTGCTTCAGGGGCTGAGCTGATTCCTGCCTGTTTGTGGGAGCTGAGGAGAACCCTCCAGCAGCACAGGACTTTCCAGCAGCCTCACTGGGAGCACAGGAGGCAGGCAAGGTGCTGCACCCCTGAGCAAACAAGCTCCCACAAGCATCATTTGCTCTGACAAGTGTCACAGCATTGGCCCAGGCTGCAGCCAAGGGCCCTCGCTCCCAGCTTTGCAATTAAAATCAAGGTTGGTTGATAAGAGCAAAGGAAAAGGCAGTGGGATGTTAGTCAGTTCCTGTTTGCCAAGTGGGTGTTTTCCCCCAGCCCAGGTGGGCTGTGGTGGGTGCCCTGAGTGTGGCTGTTCCTCAGGAACCGTGTCCTAGGCAGGGCTGCTGGCACAAGATCCTGGCCCACCACAGCAGAGACTGTGCTGGAGTGGGAAGTGCTCCAACTCCACTGGCCCCTGCCCCTGGATCCACAGGGACCCTCCCAGCCAGGTGAAATCATTTTCACTCCGTGGGCAGCTCCATGCCTGGCCTGGCACATGTAATGCTGGCTTCACATGTGTCCTCTGCTCTTGGGGGCTCTCCGAGTCCCTGGCTGGTGCCTCTGAGCGCTTCCAGAAGCTGCCAGCAGCTCTTCCCCATGGGGACAGTTTTGTCCTCACATCACTCTTAGCTGGCTCCAACATGGAGACACTCATCAACCATTTCACCTCTGGCTGACTAAGCTTTTTTAAAATTCTTAATTTAAAATTATTTAAAATAAACAAATTTAAAATGTATTTGTTTAAACCAACATCTCAGGCATGGGGCACTCTGGGACATGATGTTTATCCCAGCTTCTCCCACCCCTCAACTGCAGCAGTGTCATTGCTGTAGGAATTATCTTTCTGCAGGGAAGGTGCTGGAGGGGCTCTGCAGAGCTGGGGACAGGAACCCAGAGCCCACAACACTCTGTTGTCCTCTGCCTCTTCATACTGATTTTCTCCCTCTCCATTTCCACAGCTGGGAGACCGAGGAGCTGCGCTGGGAGGACTCTGTGTGCAGGATGTTCTCTCCACCAAAGAACTCCCTGTGACCGGCGATGATGACAGTCCCGGCGGACCCTTGGGAAGCACTAACATTTCAGTAGCCCGGCACCCAGGGACGGCCTCTTACCCCTCCTTCTCCAGACCCCGCCCTCCCACCGCTCACCGGGATGGTGTATTAACCAAGAGGAACCCTGCTTCTTTCCTCCTCACCCTTCCATTTTCGGCAGCTCTGGGATTTGTATGGCAGCAGCGTAACCGTGGAGAGGCCGGGGTATCACAAACTTATGGATTTTGATAAGAGAGGAGGGAAAGGGGAGCTGGAGGAAGGTAAAAGGATGTCCAAGACAGGTGGAGGAAGGAGTGGTCATGGAGGCCGGGGTGCTGGAACCAACTCGGGAGTCTTAATGGTGGGTCCCAACTTCCGTGTCGGAAAGAAGATTGGATGCGGCAATTTCGGGGAGCTCCGTCTAGGTGAGAAGGGTCATGTTTGTCCTCACTGTACCCACTGGTGCTGGATTGCCCTGGCATCCTCCTCCTGCAGTGGGAGGAGCTGGCACAGGCTGTGGCCATGGGCACTGGCGTGCTGACTGGCCACCCAGAGTTGAAGCATTGCCCCTTGCAGGTAGCCCTTGTTCTGGCACACAGGTTCCACTTCCTTACTCCTTCCATGCTGTGCTTGATGTTCCCAGGCCCATCCCAGCCCAAAGGACTGATTGCAGAGGTGTTTCCCATCTCCTCCCCATGCCTGTTCCTCTCTGGGAGAATGCCACAGTCTGGGTCTGTCTGTTCTAAGTGGTGGTGGCCATGGAGAACTGGGTGTCCCCCAAATCCAGAAACACTGAGTGAAGATTTGGTCACCAGATCTCACCCCACTTATGCTCTGGGTGCTGCTGTCCTGCTGTGCCTCGGGCAGGGGATGGAGCATGGGGGCCTGAGGGTTGTTCAGTCTGCTGAGACAAATATCTAGGGAGTAGAATCCGTGTTTTATCCTGAGTAAATTCTTCAGTTGTTTGAGAGACTCTGCTGAAATTCTGTGCAGGAAAGAGAAAGGGAAGAATAAAACCCAAGCATCTTCCATGGTCACTTTCCATTTTGAACCAAGTTTATTAGGACACTCCTCAAGCAAACTCCTCTTTGAAGGGTGGGGAGGTTGCTCCTCTTCCAGAACTGGGAATGTCCCTGCAGACTTTCAGCAAGCTATTAACCCTTTGCTTGGCATCAGGCAGCTGGGAGTGGTCTGGCAGGGCCAGGCACCTCTGTGCCAGCAGTGAAGTCTGGATGTCACCAGAACATGTGGGACATGGACATGTGGGTGGAGTCCCTGCCAGCTGTAGCACTGTCCTTGGCTGTGAGTGCTTTGGGAAGGGGCTTGTGCTCTGGGAAGAGGGAAGAGAGGCAATCCCCAGAGACCGTGACAGCCACAGGCCCTGTTACTCTGTGATATTTTAGGCAGCGCCTTCTCAAACCGAGCTCTGAGCTAAACCTGCCCTGACCGTGGGTCCAGGGAGGAGCTGCAGCAGCCCTGGCTCGGGTGGGGTCAGTCCCCCGTCCCTGTGTGGGGAGTTAATGTCAGCTCTTCCCGGTGTGACAGACTGGCTGGTGCCAGGCTCACCCTCCATCCCTGAACTTCCCGGCGGGATCGCCACGTAATTGCAGAGCTGAGGAAATGCTCTGCTTAAAATGCAGCCAAGAGTTCCGTGTTCAGCTGTCTCTCCTGGTGTCATGAAAAGCTCTGAGCCTTCCTCCAGACCCAGGGCTTGTGGAAGGATAGGTACTGGGAGATTTTGCTGCACCAGCTGCTCCTTTCAGTTCCCTGCTGTCAGTGCCTCCCTGCTTGGCTGGTGGACAGAGAGCCCTGAGCTGTGCAGGGTCCACCTGTGTCCTTGCACCTCCTTTTCGCTGCTTGCCACTGAGCATTCCACAGTGGATCCGTGGTTCTGGCTGAGCTGGATCCCAGGATCCTGCTCTAGGCAGGAGCTGGGGCTGTGCTGCTTTGCCATGCTCAGTGCTGAGGGTCAGTGTGCCCCCCCAACACCTCAGCCTCCCCCTCATCTTCCAGGGGCAGCAGCAAGGGGACACGAGGCTCACATGGATCTGAGGAATGTCTGTCAAACTGACAGTGAGGTTGCTGCAGGGACCTGGGAGCAGTTGGGCTCAGTTTGCTCATGGCTGCAGGGACAAGCAGTGAGCTCTCGCTCCAGGGCTCTGCACTGGTCGATTCTCACAGTGAGAGTTTGTCCTTGCCACCAGCAAGAGAAGCTTCCAGTCCCTTCACATGTTTTTTTTTGCTCTGTCACACCCTGCAGTGCCTGGCCATAACATGAAACAGGCCTGAGCACGAGATCTCATCACAGCAGTGGAAGCCACAGCTATGTGGCTTCTCTCCTAAAATCACATCTCTCTTCCTTAGGTGTGCCTTCGAACTGCATCAGGGCTCAGGAATGCTTTCAGGATTTAGGGATTCCTCCAACTGCAGATGAATGGCAAGGGACCAGAGGGCTCCTGCTGTGAAGTGGTGGCAGGAGCAGGGATGCTTCCCAGCTCTTGCTGGGCAGTCAGCTTTTTCCTGGGAATAGAGAATCCAGTCCTCAAGGCTTTAGAGGTCAAACTGCAGCTCAGTATGTAAGAGCTCCCAGATCTTCTTTGGCCTTTTTCCTCTCATAACAAAGGCCACGAGATCTTGAAAAAATGTACCTGGAGGTGACTCCTCCAGCTCCCAGTGGTGGGGATGGAGGAAGGGGACATTGTCTTCCTCAAAAAGGTACCACTTTGCCCTCTTTCTCCACCACACCAGGAGGTATGTGGTGATCTGTCCTTAGGGTGCTTCAGCTCAGCTGCCCCAGGTCGAGACAAATGTCCACCCATGTAGGAGGTGTCCAAAATAATGTGATCTGTTTAAAGATGAAATATAAAAAAACAATTGGCATAAGGCATTTGTGGGAAGCCAGAAGGGGAATGACGTGGGCAGGAGTTGTGGCTGCCAGGGCTGTGCGTTTGGATCCTGCTTCTCCTTGTCCCTGCTGGCCTTGGCATCCTGGGCAATGCAGGGCCGTGGTGCCACTCCCAGTCTGGCAGTGCTGCCCCCAGTTCTGCACTGGACCAGAGAGCTGGGCTGGGAGCTGCAGCGGGGTGGCTGCCCCAGCCCTCTGGCACAGAGGGGCAGCTTTGTGTTGTGCAGGTACTGGGTCCTGTTACCTTCTTATGTCCTGGAGCTTCACCCTGGGCTGGTGAGTGCTCATCCCTTCCCCTGCCCGGCTCCAGCTGCGGTCCAGTGCCAGCTCAGCTCCTCCTGGGGCCTTCCAAGAGCATTCCAGGGCAGTGCTCACTGGCTGCAGTCCCCTGAGCTCCCCCTGCCCATGTGCTGCCCACAGCCAGCCTCACTCCATGCCAGGGTGGGACACAAGGCAGCAGGACACTGGTGGCAGTGAGTGACCAGAGTGTGGCTGGTGGCTCGTGTGCCCTGGCACTGGACACGGCTGAACAGCCCTGGCAGCTCCCTGCCAGCTCCTGCACCCTGGGAGTGGGGCCAGCACACTCACAGAGAGGGTTTGTTGGGTTTGTTGGAGCAGGTTCCTCTTAGCAGCTACTCAGGAGTGCTTGGGATGGGCTGGAGTAGAGGAAGAGGAGGAAAACCCAGACATTAAGCAGAAAGGTCAAATCTGAGCCCAGAGCACCTGGGTGCTGTGCAGGTCCTTCCCTGGTGCAGGGCTGCCTCAGAGCCAGGAATTGCCCTTAGTCCTGGCACACTCCCTGGGGGCCCCTTCCTGAGCCTGGCTCTAGGCTGGTGCTCCTGCCAGGCTGTGCCATGGAGCTGCCCCAGGGCAGCCTCAGCCTCGTGCAGGGAAGGATGAGGGATCTGACAGCAGCTGCTGCTTCTGTTCTTCCATCAGTAAACTCCTGCAAATGTGCTTTTTGCAGCTTCTCAGTGCCCACCTCTTTCCCCCAGCTGCTGCAAGCATTGCTGCTGGCAGCTTGGAGCCGTAGCAGCTGTTTTCCTTCAAAATTGAAAGCTGGAAATTAATTATCTTTTAAAGTAAACTTGGGATTTTGGAGGGAAGAACACGAGGGGTGAGTCTGTGTGCAGTATGTGAGCCACGAGCAGGTCACTGCCAGGGCCATGCCTCAGCTGAAAGGTCACGTGCAGGTGCTGGGGACATTCCCAAACTCTCCTGAGCTGTGGCTCTTGGGCCTGTCCTGCAGCCTCCCAGGAACTCTCAGGGAGTTAGCTGGGGCCACAAAAGATGCCTTCTGAAAATGGGCTCAGTGCTCGTGACACCCTTCTTGTCTTGGGCTCTGCAGAGACCTCCTGTGAGCACCTGCAGTGTGGCCAAGGGCTCGGCCACCTCCCAGAGGAGCCACAGACCCAGAGGTGGCACACAGATGGCTTTGGAAGCTTTGGGAGAGAGGAACCCACACAATTCCTGCTGCTCCTGCCTCCCTCGCTGAAGGCTCAGACTTGCTTTTCCTCCTGGTTGTTCAGAGCCTCCTCTGAAGAGGTCAAGCTCTAAAATAACATTTTTCTTCTGATGATGTTAAACCCCAGTGCTCCACAAAGCTGTTGTTGCTTGGCCTGGTGCAGCCACTGTGGCTGGAGCTGCAGGGCTGGCAGGGCTGGGCCCGGCTGCTTTTGCATGGAGCTGCCTCATCCCCCGTTCCTCCACTGCATTCCCAGGCCTGGGAAGCCAAATTCTCATCCTGGTGCCCAGGCACAGCTCCATGCTGCTGCTGCACAAAGGTTCCTGGTGTAGAACAGTGCTGTGCCACGGGCAAGGGACAGCTTCAATGTTTGCTTTTCCTCTCACTGCGAGGGGCTGGAGCATGTCCAGAGACAGGAATGGAGCTGGGAAGGGGCTGGAGCACCAGGAGAGGCTGAGGGAGCTGGGGAGGCTCAGGCTGGAGAAAAGGAGGCTCAGGGGGGCCCTTGTGGCTCTGCACAACTCCCTGACAGGAGGGGACAGCCGGGGGGGTTGGGCTGTGCTCCAGGGAACAGGGACAGGAGGAGAGGGAACGGCCTCAGGCTGGGCCAGGGGAGGTTTAGGTTGGATATTGGGAAAAATTCTTCACTGAAAGGGTTGTGAAGCATTGGAACAAACTGCCCACGGTAGAGTGGAGTCACCATCCCTGGAAGTGTTCAAAAACGTGTGAATGTGGCACTTGAGGACATGGGCTAATGTGAGCATGGTGCTACTGCTGGTTGATGATTGGGGTGATCTGAAAGCTCTTTTCCCATCTTAATGATTCTGTGATTCCATGCTTCTAAGCTGTTTGGATGGGGACCCAGCCGGGAGACCCAGCTCCTCCTGTGACGTGCAGGAGCAGGTGCTGGGTGCTGCTGCCAGATCCCTGCAGAGGGGACAGCAGAGAAAGCCACGTCCAGCTTTAACACAGCCCAGCCCCAGGCCTGGCTGCCTGCTCCTGCCTTTGCTCTGATCCCACACGCTCCATCCTGCAGCTGCTGGCAGCTGGATTTGGAGGCACCTCCGGCAACGAGCTGGGCAAAGGCCCCTGCAGTGCAAATATTTGCTTTCTGCCACCCATCTCACTGCTTTTGTCTTTCATTTCCTTTCAAAAGCACCTTTTGTGCTGCAGGTCCTGCCTGCTCTAGTCCTCCCAGGCACTCCCTGGGCTCTGGCACATTCTGGGTGTCAGAGTTGCCCCCTTGTGAGCACTGGGACAGAGCGAGAGGCTCGAGGAGCTGGAGCAGGGAGTTCCCTGGCATGGAAGAAATGCTCCCTCCTTGCTCTTTTGCTTTTCCTTTTCTCTTGGTTTATTAATCTCATGACAGGCCAGTTCTGTTATTTGAATTTTTTTTAATTCAGAAAGGGGAAGTGGGGGGTGGTGATTTGAGCAGTCCATACCCCATCTTGCCCATGAGCTGTATCCAAGCCCCCCAAGGAAGGGCTGAACCACGGGAGTATCAAATGATTTAGACTCATTTTTGGGCTGGGAGAATTCTGCCAGCTTCAGAGTCTTGTTGCTGGTAGGTTTCTGTGCCAGCAAGCCACAGGGGTCCTGTGTGGTGGGGACAGGACAGAAGCCACTGCTGAGGATTCTCCTGCCTCCATCCCTTCTCCCTCCCAGCCCTGCTGGGGATGCTCCTGCTTCCGTCCTTGCTCCCTCCCTGCTGGGCTGAGTCCCTTTTGCAGTGTCCCTCTGGCAGTTTTCCTGTCATGTTCTATTTTTCCCCCTTCAGATCCTGCCTGACCTCAGGGAAAATCCAGCTGTGAGTTTTCTGATCGCATGTTGCTGCCCTGAAGGCAGCAGTAATTGTTTTGGACTGGAATGTACAGCCCTGTGGAGCCATGCACAGGTCTCGGGGTGTCCCACCTGCTCCCAGGAAATGCCAGTGTGTGATGGGACAAACCCCCTGGATCTGGTGCACGCTGTGCTCGCCAGACGTTCCTCCCTCCCTCCCAAATCCCCTCCTCCCTAATCGCTGTGAAGGGATTTGCTTGATGCAGAGGCAGCAGACACAGTGGCTTGGCAGAGGTCCCCTGGGATGGGAGAGGGTCAGGGAGGCAGCAGGGCTGAGCCCCTCCTTGGCTGCAGAGCCCTGGGAGGAGCCGCTCCATTAATATCTCCCATTCATCCCTCTTGCTGTAATCCTGCCGCCGACTGTGGCACTCAGCAGCTGGCTCTGATGTCACCCGGCCAGGATTTATTGCTGCTTCAGGTGGAGAGCAGCAGTCGGAGCAGATGAAATCTTACGCCAGGAGGAGCTTGTTCCCTAAGCAAATTGCTTGGAGAAAATCCGAGGAGACAGATGCAGCTCCATCGGATACGCACATGCCAGGCACTGGGATCGCTGGGATCTGGAGTCTGCTGACTCTGGAGGGAACCTGCTGCTCTTAACCCCCTCCTGCCCGGGCTCCTGCAGCCTCTGGCACAGGGAATGCTCTGAGCTGCTCCTGCAAACCTTTAATCTTTGCCTTTGGGTCTGGACAGAGGTTGTGCTGATGCTTCCCAGGTGTGTCCCCTTTTCCTCAGCCCCCTGGTTTTGGGGGGACGTGGAGGCACCCAGAGCTCAACCTTCCTGTGGTTATGGTGTGTAAAGTCCTGTGCAGGTGTGGAGCCCTCCGGGGGTTCCTGTACAGGGTGCTGGGTGCCACGGCTGCTCCTTCACTCCCCTGGGCTCTCCCTGCAGCCTTCAGCTCTTCATACAGTCTGGGCCATTCCATGGATTTTCTCCTGGCTTCCCCTGTGCCCTTGGGGAATTGATGTGCCATTCCCAGGAGTGACTCCAGCCTTGGGGGAGGGATCTCCACATGCCTGTGGTGCCCTCAGACCACTGCCAGCTGCCCCCGTGCTCCCGGGTGTCCTTCCTCCGTGCACCCTTTGCAGGGTGACAGTAACCCAGCGTCCCCCCTCTCCCTGCGGGGCTGGGAGAAGCACCAAGTCTCAGCTTTGTCCCTGCCTTGCCCAGTCACATCCCCCTCCCATCAGCCTTGGCTGCAGCCCCCAGGAGCCTCCCCATCACAGAGGAATCCACCTACCCTACCTGAGGATAATTAGCAGGCATGTTACAACTCCCCACAGAGAGTTCTGCTCCTGCTCGTGCCTTGAGGCTCCTCCAGGTGTTGTGGGAGCAGCAGAACCTGTTCAGGATGTTTTTGAGCCCAGGAGCCCTCAGGGACAGCAGCGGGTGTGCGGTGGGGGTGATGCAGGGACTGCTTTTCATCCTTTTTTGTGTCTCTCCCTGCAGGGAAGAATCTCTACACGAACGAATACGTAGCTATCAAATTGGTGAGTAGCTGTCAAACCGGGGAGTTCCTCCATGGTGGGGTGGGGGATGTTTCAGCCGTTGGGAAGGAGTTTCTCCCCCTCCCCCGGTGTTGGGGTGGGTGGAGTGGGTTGGGATGTGATGGATGTGACGGCTGGGTGGCTGCGGGGGAGCTCCATTCCCGCTCAGAACTGAGAGCAGTCTGGGAACACACGTCACTGCAGGTGGGGTGATCCAGGGAAGGGATGAGTCTTGCTTCTCCCAGCCCTCACCGTGGCCTGAGCTGTGCTCAGCCAGTGCCAGCAGCAGAGACGGTGGCCCCACTGGTACCTGATCCCATTAATGTTTTCCTCTCTCTGGATGAAATTATCTGGCTCCCATATGGGCTTATTTTTCTCTCATCATCCCCTGAGGCTTCATCTCCATTTTATACCAGTTGCTCCCAACCTCAAATGCTCTCAGTCCAGCTGCTGCCAGCATGTGAAGGAGGTGTCTGACACCCAGACCCCCTGAACATCCCACTTCCTACTTAACTGTTCTCCTTTCTCTCTGCCAAGGAACCCATAAAATCCCGGGCTCCCCAGCTGCACTTGGAGTATCGGTTCTACAAACAGCTCGGCAATGCAGGTATGGGGCTGGGCTGAGCTGCCCTGGGGAGCTGCCTGCCAGGGGCACTGCTGGGAGAGAGGTTTTCCCTAAATATGACTCTGCAGCTTCACTCCCAGCTTGAGCTCCTGCCCATCTGCTCTGCAGGGAGAGGCTGGTTTTACACAGACGCCTCATCTCATCTTTGATCTCTTTTGATTTAGTTCTTTCCCCCCACCGCCCCTGCAGCAGAGTTAGGGATGCAGATGGAGCTGCCTCCCTCCCCCTGCTGCCAAGAGCAGAGCCAGGCTGGCGGTGCAGGGAGGGCAGTGCAGGGACATCCCCCCCTCTGCAGCCCCTGTCCCTGTCCGGCAGTGGCCTGGCTGTGACAGCATGGCCCTGCTGCAGCCCTGCACAGCCCCTGCTCCATCTCTTGCAGAAGGAATTCCTCAGGTTTACTACTTTGGCCCCTGTGGGAAGTACAACGCCATGGTGTTGGAGCTGCTCGGACCCAGCCTGGAAGATCTCTTTGATCTGTGTGATCGGACCTTCACGCTCAAGACTGTCCTGATGATCGCGATCCAGCTGGTGAGTGCAGCCCCTCCACCCCCCCTGCAGCCCTGCAAGCTCCCCTGGCCCCCCTGGCTGCCCCTGGAGCAGGGCATGTGTGGGCACTGTGGGCAGGCAGCATGGGCATCCCACAGGGAACGGGGGGAAGATGCTGGCACATCCCAGCCTGGCTCAGCCATACCTCACCCTCTCCCTGCTGAGGGAGGGCTCTCCACCCTTTCACAGCCCCTCTCTGAGCCCCCACAAGTCTCTCACTGTGTGCCCAAGGTGCAGCTGGCCTGGAGCTGATGTGCCCGTCCTTGGGGCTGGGGCCAGGCTGAGGGGAGCAGAGATGGCCAGAGCAGGGCTCAGGGCAGGAGCATGCAGGACACAGGGTGGGTCTGTGCCCTGGCACTGACATCTCCTCCTGCCCCAGATCACACGGATGGAGTACGTCCACACCAAAAGCCTGATCTACAGAGACGTCAAGCCAGAGAACTTCCTGGTGGGGCGGCCGGGCAGCAAGCGGCAGCACACCATCCACATCATCGATTTTGGCCTGGCCAAAGAGTACATTGACCCCGAGACCAAAAAACACATCCCCTACCGAGAGCACAAGAGCCTGACAGGGACAGCGCGTTACATGAGCATCAACACCCACCTGGGGAAAGGTGTGTGGGCACAGCCAGCCCTGCCTCCTGGCTGAAGGGAGGGACTGCAGGGCAGGGGTGCCAGAGGTGGGGCTGGGGACAAGCTGCCTCTCCTGCTCTTCAGGGTGCTGGCAGGACACTTGGGGTGCTGCAAGATCTGGGGAGGGGACAGGGACAGTGGCCGTAGTGGGAACTGACCCATGTCTCTTTTTCTCCATGCAGAACAAAGCCGCAGGGACGACCTGGAAGCATTAGGGCACATGTTTATGTACTTCCTCCGTGGGAGCCTTCCTTGGCAAGGCCTCAAGGTAGCTGCCAGCTCCTGCTGCCTCTGAGCATAGCTTCCTGTGGGTCTGGCTCTCCCCTGGCATGGGGAGGGGGAAGGTTTGGCCCCTGGGGTGTTGGAGGGTTGGCACCCCACCAGCTCTGAGCTCCATGCCAGGCCCTTGCAGTGCTGAGCAGCTGCAGGTCTCCCTGTGCCCTCCCAGCTGCTCTCACAGTGGCTGTCCTGGAAACCCTGGGGTTTGCTCTCTAGACCTGCCTGGGGAGGGAGTTACCTGGGAAAAGGGGTCCAAGAAAGGGGTGTGGCAGCCCCCAGTGCCTTCCCCTGCCCGGGGTGGTGCCGGGCCCCTGTGCTGACCCCACTTGTCCCCGCCAGGCTGACACACTAAAGGAGAGGTACCAGAAGATTGGTGACACCAAAAGAGCCACCCCAGTGGAGGTGCTCTGTGAGAACTTCCCAGGTGAGAGCACTGCCCAGCCCAGCCCCCAGCCCCGAGCCCCCTGTACCCTGTCCCCCTGAGCCCCCGTGTCCCCGCAGAGGAGATGGCCACGTACCTGCGCTACGTGCGGCGCCTGGATTTCTTCGAGAAGCCCGACTACGACTACCTGAGGAAGCTCTTCACAGACTTGTTCGAGAGGAACGGTTACGTGTTCGACTACGAATACGACTGGGCAGGGAAACCTCTGGTGAGTGCACAGGGACTGGGGGCAGAGGTGCAGGGAGGAGCAGGGGCAGTGGGGTCAGGATGTGGCTCTCAGCCATCCCTGGCACGCACCGTGTCCAGGGGACCAGCTTCACCCTCCTCACCCTCACGGGGATTTGAGGCTCCTAGAGCCAAGGGCATCCCAGCAGCCAAGCTGGCATCTCACTTTTTGCCATGGGCACATTGCTTGGGCTCACTGCAGCCAGATAACAAGCATGGCGCTGCTGGGGCAGGGGTAGGGGCAGTGATCAGGCCCCAGTTCTCAGGGGTTTTGCACATTTGGCCAGAGGTTGCATCTGGCTGCGGGGTGTTGGGAGGGCTCTGTGTCAGTCAAAGGACTGACACTGTGCTTTGTGTTCCCAGCCCACCCCCATTGGCACGATGCACAGCGAGGTGCAGGTGCAGCCCCCGAACAGAGACAAAGCACAGCCACACACCAAACACCAGGTGAGCAACGGCACAGCCCGGCTGGGCACGGGGCCACAGGCATGGGCAAGCTCGGGCTGCAGCTCCAGGGACATGGAGCCCAGCGGGGATGGTGGCAGGGACTGGAGCATCATTTATCCTCAGTGCTGCCTGTGGGAAGAGTTCCTTCTCACAGCTCTGGGTCTCTGGCTCGCCAGGGCCCCAGGGCAATGTCCCTGCGGCCTGGCAGAAGAGGGAGCACTGTGGGTGCTGGGCATGACTGGGGGGTGCCAGGCCTGGACATCAGCTGATGAGGGGCAGGGTCCAGCCTGGAGTGTGGGGGAGGGCTTGGTGCAGGCTGAGCCACCTCTGCAGAGGACAATGTCCCTATGGGATTATTTGCTGCTCTGCTTGTGATGCCCTTCCATCAATGGGAGGGGACGCGGGACAAGAGAGGGCAGGATTGGTGGGGAAGCTTGGCAGCGTTTTGCCCCATGCTGGGGCTGCCTTTGCTCTGGGAACGGGCAGGGCACAGGGAGCCAAGCCCGGGGCAGGGATCGGGCAGAGCTCTGTGGGAAGGGGGCCAGGCTGCTCAGAACTGTTCCAGTGCTGTGGCCTGTGCTGCCCTGGTGCAGGACACGTGTCTCTGGTACTGCTGCCACCAAGAGCAAACCTCATGTGTTTCCCAGCAGTCTTGTACAAACCCTTGTCCTCCCAAACCTCCTTGGGGGTTTGCAGAGCACCTGCAAAGGGGCTGGAGCCGGGGGTGCAGCGCCCTGTCCTCCCCAGGCTGCTCCTGCCCAGCACAGGGAGCCTGGCACAGCCCTGGCTCTCACTGGCAGCACTTCCTTAGGGAGAGGGAAACATCCTCCAATCACCTGTGGCGCATTTCTGGGAACTCGCTCCCAGTAAGGTTCTGCTCTCTTACCCCAGCACCAGGGAAATGCTATGTTGGATCCTTCCCCAGAGCAGGGGAAAAGCAAAGCACAGAGCTCCCAGAGCATGGGAGCAAGGTCCAGCTTGGGGACACAGGGTGTCCCCCAGCTATGTGGCCATGCTGTGCTCACCAGGGGAGGGTTTGGCTGTGGGGCAGCCGAGCCCTGTGGAGGAGCAGCCCAGCTGGTGCCACACAGACCCTGCCAAACTCTGCGTCGTCCTGGGGATACGGCGTCACCTGGACCTGGCTGCAGCTCCAGCTCTGCTGCCCCAGCCCAGTCCCAGACACGGCCACCAGCCCTGCTGGAGCTGGCCCTGCTCCATGGGGTGGCCCTGCGTGGGGCTGGCCGTGGGGGATGTGTATGGAGGTGGCAGAGGGACACAGAGCCCCGCTGTCATCACAGGGACCGCTCTGGGAGCTGCTGGGACGGTGCTGCACGGGTGCCCTCTGCAATCACCAACTTGAGCTGCTCCGCTCATGTTTTTGCTTTTGCATGTCTTATTTTCTCGACTCCCTTTGCCACTCTTCCCGCCCCTTCCCTCCACTTCTCCCTTCTTTTCCCCATTCTCCCTCTTTTCTTTTGTTTCTTTTCATTCTGTTCCTCCTGCCTGTCGCGAGCAGCCGCCCGAGGGGACGGAGTTGTGGGATCCTCAGGCCGGTGGGCAGCCTGCCGAGGAGCCTTTGGGAGCTCACCTGGCAGCCGGCAGGCTCGGGGGGTCCGTCCAGGTACATGAAACCACGCGCCAGGGGCAGGGGCGGGCACGGGAGGGAGCGGAGCCACCCTGGGCCTCATGGCCGCCCGCGGAGCCGAGATCAGCCCCGCTCCCCTGCCCCGGGGCCACACAGCCCGGGGTCCTGCCCCAGCTGCAGCACCCGCTGCCTGTCCCTGATGCTCACGGCTCGCAGATGAGGCTGGTGCTGCTTCCCAGGGGCTGCTGGGCTCCCTTGGTGCTGCCCGGGGGAATTAGAGGGCAGTTGAAGATGGATGGAGGATGGAGGATGGAGATGGATGATGGATGATGGATGATGGATGGATAGGGATGGATGGATGGATGGATGGATGGATGGATGGATGGATGGATGGATGGATGGATGGATGATGGATGGATGCCAAGCTGCAGCACAGCAGCTGGGTGGGCATTGCTCTGCCCCCAGTGCCGCTCGTCTGAGCAGGGACTTCCCTGTGCCTCCTTGACTGGAGCCCTGGCTCCAAGCCCTGCTTCTCCTCCCTTCCTGGGCACTCCTTGGCCGTGTCCCCCCGCCGTGGTCCTGCCCTGGTCGTGTCTGGCGCCGTCAGCCCCACGCTCGCTGCCGCTCAGCCCTGCCTTGGCCTGGGGGTTCCTCCCCCATGGATGGGACATCCATGCCGGGTCCCCCCGGCCGGGCCTGCGCTGCTTCCCCCGTCTGTGCTTCCGTCCTCGCCGCTCTTGCTCGTTCCTGCTGCTCCACGGTGACTCTGCTGGTGCTCGGCCCAGGCTTGGGCACAGCTTCCGCTGTTGCTGTCACGGGGCCGGGCACTCCGTGGTGCCAGGCAGGCCGTGGGGCCGGGCACTCCGAGGGCCAAGCTCATGCTCTGCCTCGCTCCTCCTGTCCCTCACCCCCTTCTTCCTGCCCACTCCTGCTCTGCAAACCCTTCTGCCATGCTCCGCCTGCACCCAGCACTGCAGGGGTGATGTGCAGGGGTCTCTGTGCTGGTGCCAGGGGCTGGAGCCCGGCGTGGCCCTGCTGGCTGGGCGCTGCTGTTGGGTGGCAGCTCCTCGGAGGGGCTGGGAAAGGCCAAGGCTCCTTGCCGGGGCTGAGCAGCTTGGAGAGTGTTTGGCCTGTGCATCCCCAGGGAGCTCCTGGCTTTGCCTATGGGCAGCAGGCACAGGATGGTGGTTCGGGCACCTCTCTGTTGCCTTGGTTGCTTGGATGTCGTCCTGGCCCTGGCACTGTGGCTGACCCTGCTGCCCTGGTGAGCGGGCAGGGTGGGCACTGGACTGACTCTTGGTGATGGGAAGCAGTTGTATCCAGATGCTCAGCTGTGTGGGAAGGGCTCCTTGGAACTGTCAGCTTTCCCAGGCCCTGTCTCCTGCCCACGTTGGAGCTGGCTGCCAGCAAGCCCCTCTTCTGGTGCAGGGGCTCCCAGGAGCTGGGATCCTTCCAGGGCCATTGGCTAAGGGGCTCAGACCTCTCTGTGTGATGGGGCTCTTGGGGAGAGCTCAGCACTGAGGCTGAACACCGCGGTCTGGGCGAGGGCACCATCCTGCCACCAAGGGCACCTCGGTGCTCCCGATCAAAGCTGGGTGGTCTCCTGGGTGGCTCCTGTGCCCCGCAGGGAGGGGAAGAGCTGCAGGCCCGTGGGCTGTCCCTGCTGACACTCGTCTCTCCTCAGGTGATGAGCTCCACCAACGGAGAGCTGAACACAGATGACCCGACGGCAGGACATTCAAACGCCCCCATCACAGCCCCCACCGAGGTGGAGGTGACAGACGATACAAAGTAAGGCCCCAGCCCCGTTGCCCCCTCGCTAGTGCTGGGCTGGAGGAGGGGTCAGCTGCTGCCCCAGGATGCCTTGTCCGGTGCCTGCTGGGGAGTAACAGCCCAGCTGTCCCCTGGCATTCCCTGAGGGGTGACCCTGCAGGGCCACCACCACCCCAGCCCTTCCCACCTCGCCCTGACCAAGGCTCCTGCACAGAGGGGCATGGATGGATCTGGGACTGCTCCTTCTCTGGAGTCCCTGCCTGGCCCTCGCTCTGGCTATGTGGCTGGCCTTGTGTGCCATGGTCAGTGTCTCTCCCCTGCCATTTGCTGCGGCAGGTGTCACTTTTGGTGGCCGTTGTGGTGCTCGCAGTCCAGCCCCTGCCATGTACCAGGGGCACTTGGTGGAGCAGCTCTGCCCACGTGGAGCTCACCAAGGCACCGAGGGGTTTCTGTCCTCCCTGATCCCGGGGCTGCTGCGCCCTCCATGCCGTGGCCCCGGCGCTGACGCGTCCCCTCTGTCCCCAGGTGCTGCTGTTTCTTCAAGAGAAGGAAGAGGAAAACGACCAAGCGTCGCAAGTGAGCTGCCGGGGCCGGGCGGAGCGGCGAGCGATGGCTCCTCTCCCTCTGGCCGTGGCTGCATCTTGACCCGGGAGCCTCGGCCCCTCGGGCTGGACGGGGACGGGGGGGCCGGGCCGGACGGGCTCCCCCAGCGCCCCACGCGCAGGTGGGGAGCGGGGCCTCCCCAAACTGCTTGTCCTTTCCTCCGCCACTCGTGGCCGTTTACTCGAACCAAGCCCAACTTCGCTGAAGTTCCTGCGTCCGTCAAACAGAAAAAAAGAAAAAGAGAAAAACCCACGGCGTCACTTGCTTTGAGTTTATAACCAGTCTGAAATGGGGATCAACTACAGACTCTGACCCGTCGCTGTCAGAAGAAGACGAAGACAATTTCAAGAGCAGTGGGCTGAGGAGGAATATTTTTTTTTCTGTTGCTTCTTTGTCTCTTAAGTTAATTTAAAGTGAGTCTCGGTGCAGAGTGCTGAGTCGTCAGTCTTTGAACGTCATCTTCAGTGTTACCGAATTCTGCTCTTCCTTCCGGCCCCGCCCCGCGTCCCCGCCGGGTCCCCCTCGCTCAGGCCGCTGGTGACGAGAGTTGGGCTCCGGTCCGGCCCCGCTCGGGCGGGGAGAGCCGGGGGCGCGCGGGGCGGGGAGAGGAAACGCGTTTACAGTTCATTTACGATGCACTTTTGCGAGCAATACAGGCGCCGTCCGGTCCCGCCGAGAGCAGGTCCGAGACTCCCAGGGGTGGGGGACACAGGGACAGGGACGGCCGAGACCAAAGGGACCCATGAATGGCGGTGGCAAAGCAGGGAGGGGAAGCAAAGCAGCCTCGTCTCTGGTGCTGCCGTGTCTTGGGGCTGGATGTTTCCACGACAGCTGTAGGTGTGGGCAGGGCTTGATCGGCCCCTTGGTTTTACAGCCTGAGCCCCCCGGGGCCCCGCGGCTGCTTCCGGGGGTCGGGGCTGCGGCTGGGCCGGGCGGTGAAGGGCGCCGGGGTGGAGGGGCTCTGCCAGCCTGGAATCCCCCAGAGTGGCATCCCCCCAGGGATCCTCCCGCCCTGCTCCCGGGGCTGGGGGAAATGGAGGTTTTGGAACTGACACACAGACACCCCCCGCACCCCCGTGTTCCTCGCCACCCCAGGGCACTGCAGCTCCCCACGTGACTGACCCCGTGCGCTGTCGTGTGTATTGATCGTGACACTTTGGGGGGGGACACACACTTATCTTTACCAAAACCCTGTTGTTCTGCCCCAAGAGAAGGGGCTGAGGCTGTGCTGGGGGGGCGGGGGAGGGATGGGACCATCTGTGGCTGCTTTGAAACATTTGTCCAAACTGACCATCTCGGGGAGGGGCTGGAGACCCCGGATTGTGGAGGGGCTGGGGGGGCACGGGGTCTGCCATGGGGCCGTGCCCTCCCCAGGGCCCCTCTTCATCCTAATTCCGGGATTGACCCCGGCTTTGGCTTGTCCGGGCTGCAGCAGCCAGGGCAGACCCGGCTGCTGCTGCGTCCCCGGCCGCGGCAGGAAGGGGACGTGCAACGTTTGACCTCGTGTCCCCAGCGAGGCGAACAAACGAATTTTAAAAATCGCCTTAAAATTTTCACTGGAAGTGGTCCCTTGTCAGCGCATCGGCTCAGAGCAGCCCCGGCAGAGGCCGAAGAGGAGCCGTGGAGGGGAAGGGAAAGCGGCCACGGGGGTGTGTCCGGAGTGCCCGGCTCTGTCCGAGCACCCTCGGCCGCCGGGGCCGTGGCCCGAGCCCGGGACTCTCTGTCCTTCCAGCGAGGAGTCCAAATACTGCGATTGTACGTGAGAGCGTTTGTTCCATTGCGAGTTTAGTTACTGCTTTAAAACCAAGTGTACAGAAATGGCATTTCAATTTCTCTGATGCTTCCTGGAAGCCATAGAATTTAGGGGCTTTTTTTTAATAAAAACAAAAAAATTAAAAAAAAATATTTAAAACCCAACATATTCTTCTGTGCTTCACTGTGTGACTCCCAAAGGTGAGGACATTGCCCAAGCACGGTCTTTTTGTTGGAGGCTCCCTCAGCAGTGGACGGGAGGAGCCCCAGCCCCTCACAGGGGCTCCCTGCCCAGGAATCTCTCCTGGAGCAGCAGGAGGAAAATCTCGGGGGGATAGGTCAGGGGAACAGCAGCAAAGGTGACGGTGCAGGAGGGTAATTCCCAGCTCCCCCCGTGCAGGGGTTGGAATGAGGGTCCAGCCTGGAACCACAGCCCAGAGCTGGGTACAGGGAACTGGGGGAGCCCTTGGCATCGTGGCTGACGAGGAGAAAGGCCAGGACATTGTGCTGAGCCCAGCACGACCCAGCCGAGGCCCAGGACCTTGTGCCTTGGTGAGCACAGCGCGGGCAGGGTGAGAGCCGGGCTGGGCTGCATTCCCCCTGCTCCTGGCACTGCAGGGCCCCGAGACTGAGCTCCAGCACGGGCTGGAGGACAGGGAAGCTGTGCCTGGCCCAGGGGCTCACGCTCACCATGGCCCCACTGCTCCCTCTGGGCCTCGAGGTGCTGAGTGACAGTGGGAGCTGTGCTGGGCAGAGCCCAGCCCTCATCCCTGCTCCAGCAGCCCCCAACAGCCTCTCCGTGCTGGGAGTCACAGGCCAGAGGATCTGCCTTTCCCCCCAAGGCCCCTGCAAAGGCTGAGACAGCTTTTGGTGTATTTAATTGTCAAAAACCTCCAAATTCAGGTTCAAGAAATTCAGTCATAAAATGACATCACCCAGACCAGAGTGTGCCCACCCTGTGCCATCCTGCTGCCCTCCTACCACCACCTCGCACCCTGAGGGTCTGCACTCCCCAGTCATGATCGCTGGGAGGATCCAGCTCATCCCACACCCCACGGAAGGGGGAGATGGGCCAGAAGCTGGCTTGGCCTAGATTTCCCCTCCACCATTTCATCATTCTCCTCCAATCACAAAGAAACTTCATAAAGACAACCTCGATGTCTTTATTGTTTTCCTATTTACAAATCACAAAGCTGGCCAAAAAGCAGAGTGTGAACACGGGACGAGAGCATCGGATACATTCATCAAATAGCACAGGAGCCGGGCCGGGCCCGCTCTGCTGGAAGGTGACGTGGTACAACAGAATGGCTCATACTTCTGGGAACAGGCATGTCCAACAAGGAATTACATTCATCTATCTACAAAAGCCAGAATTGCATCAAACTGCGGAAAAGCCATAAAGAACAGAAGTTGCTCAGGTGTAGTTCAGAGTTTGACTCCTCTCCCTCCGTGACAGGACAAGCTGCCAGATCTGCCCCACACAGGGAGGGCAGGAAGGTGGGATTAGGGAAGAGAATTTGCGTAACAAAATAATAATAATGAGAACAAAACTTCCAGGGAACAGACAGTGGGAAGCTCCCACTGCAGCTGGGCAGGGCCAGCCCGAGCCCTGCTCTTCCCAGAGCCAAGTGCACAGCTCTGCTTCTCTCAAATTCCAATTATTCCACTATTTCCACCCAATGCCCCGAGGTGCAGAAAACAGATCAGATCCCCCGGGGAAGGTGCAGGCCCCAGCACGGGCCCTTGCTGCCAGCAGGGATATTCCCACCACCTTTGGGAGAGGGGTGGTGACAGGAGCAGGCACAGTCACAGACATCCCAAGGGACACAGAGCATGGGCTGTGAATCCATCTCACAACACTGTTTGCATTGCACAGAGTCGGGTTCAGTCACCAGGTTATGGAACCAGGGTTGGGGTTTTTTTCCATTTTTTTAGTACTGGCCGTATTAGAACCATCCCACCTAGAAGCAGGCTGACAATATAGAGCTCACACCATCTCCCTGGAGCACAGAACACGCTCTGGGCATCGCCAACAGCTACTGGGGAGGAGCTGCAGGGCAATCCCAGGCTGCCGCTGCACGGCTGAGGAGACTCCAGCCAGCACAGCCCCAGGATCCCAGCTGGGGCAGCAGGAGGAGAAGCTGTGCTCCAGCCAAGGACAGCCAGGTTTCGACCTCCAGCAGTGAAATCCAGCGGCAGCAGCTGCCCAGAGAGTGGCAATGGCTCCGTGTGCCAGAGCAGGAGGTCGGAGAAGGGGCCCTGAGGCAGCACCACCCCAGCCAGTCCCACGCAGACTCCAGTGACTCTGCCAGGCTGAGCTTAATTCCAGCTTCCACTGCAGAGGAGGGGAGGAAGAGTCTCATGGTCTTCACTGGTGGGCAGTGAGGGTGGGGCTGGTCAGGCAGCCCAGGACCAGCCACCCTCTCTGTGACAGCCACGGGGAAAAGCAGCCGGCCCTGAACAGGTACAAGGGGTATCTTCAACGTCACCGAGCTCCACAGCTCAATGATGTCGATGTGGTGATGTTTGTGATCTCCCTCCTGTGCCTGGCCAACAGGCAGTGTGCAAACACACACCAGCACGGAGAATATTCCACGTTTTCCTGAACCATTTGGTAAATCCTCGTCCATCTGATGCATTATAGGTAAGAGGCAGGTGCACATCCAGCCTCTCTTCCTGCTTCCAGGGCAGCAGGGGAGGGGCAGCAATGCACACAAACAGAGGGAAATGCATGGAAACATGCATGGAAACTGCAGGAATGCCCAGGAACAGGTAAGGCAGGTGCCCTTCTGCTTCAACTGACAAACCCTGGCACTCTGTAAAGGACAATGACCAGAAACAAGAGAGCTGGGGCTGCTCAGGGGTGAGCTGAGCATCACCCAGCACTTGGGACACGCCAGGGGTTTGGAAGCAGCACCATGGGGACTCAGAATGCAGAAGGGCTTGCCTGGCCAGGCTGCTGCCCCTTACCACTCTGCAGGGAGGTCACCTCGCTGCCACCAACTGCACGAGGTGGAGATTGTCACAGGTCGGTGAGAAGAGCAGGGAAATGCCATGGTCCCTCCAGAGGAGATCAGGTTTGAGGTCTCCAAACCTGTGTAGTGCTGGAACAGCAAAGCCTCAGGGAAAAGGCCACTTTCCATGACTTTTGAAGGCGGCTCTATGTGCTGAGGTTGCTGAGAGGGAAGGAAGGTGCCAGACACGGGCTGGTCAAGCCCTGCAGTCTGGCCTGGACTGCTGAGCTGGAGCAGAGCAGGGGCCACCCAGCCCTGAGTCTGTCTGCAGGACCATCTCCTCATGGCAAGTGAAACCACAACCAGAGCCACTCGTTGCCTCGCTTCTGACCGGTGGAAAAGCATCTACATTCATTACAGTCCAAAAAACGCACGTTGTTAGATAGGGTTAATCAGGAGGTGAAGAACAACAAGCCACAGACAACCTACGAATGGTACTGGGACACCAGCTGGCCTGCACTGGGACACCAGCTCGCCTGGCACCTGAGAGCAGCAGCAGCACTAGCACAAGGCAGAACATGAGCTTTGAAATGATTTCACTGAGACCTTTGGCTAGTGTGGCTCCAATTGGTGTGGTCAAACTCAGCCAGAGATTTAGTTTGGGAGGTGACAGGGAAGAGTCGAGTCCAGGGCAGGCTGGGCAGTGGCACTATGTGTAGAAGATGATCTCTGGGATTTGTCCATCCTCCACAGAGGTGCCATTGTTGTTCCCAGCCGCGTAACAGAACATAAAGCAGGTTTTGGCTCCCGTTGTTGGTGATTCATGGATCACTTTGCGCAGTCCTTTGGTTCCATAGTGGGAATCTGGACCCTGCAGGGGTCATGGAAGACAAGAACAGGTCAGGACCCTGCTGCTGCCCAAGCTCTCTGCTCGGTTTGGAGCTGCGGGGATCTCAGTTCCTCCCTCTTCCTCCTGGATTTGCACCTCAGGTACTCTAAACTCAATCTCACCTCTATCAGAACTTAATACTAATTTAACCAGGTCTCAACAGCTAAATATGAACTTTCTGAGATCACTGCAGCAGGCTCTGGATTACACACCTGCAGGACTCACAGCTCAACTGTACACACCAAAAACATCACCTCATCCCCTCCTCAGTGAAATACCTGTTCAGTGCTATGAGACAAGCCAAAAACCAGCTCTGAATGCTCGTGGTGAACAAGCTCATGGCAGCATCAGGTCACACAGAGTCCTTGGAGGTTCTATCACTGGCCTCCAAGGACACAGAGCAAGGCCCAGGCTGCACTGAAGACCTACAGCAGGTGCCCTCACCTGCCTGCACCTCACCCCAGCCCGTGTGGTACCTTTAGAGTAGCACAGGCTGTGTAGTTGACGTTGGGTAAAATCTCCACAGGCTCCTTGAACATGACCCGGAAGGTGTTGGATGAGCCGTCACAGCTGAAGCCGGTGTCGTTCTGCCCCAGCACCGTGTTGCTGTCTGTGTGGATGATCTGCAACACAGGGTCAGCCTTCCATCTGCAGAGTTGGACACTGCCAGCCCTGCCCACGTGAGTGTCCCTGAGCTGGGCTGAGCCCCAGGCACTCCCAGATTGACCAGTCCTGTGATGACTGCACTGTCCATTACTCGTGTCCCTCATCAATGCTATGATCACAGAACCGCGTTTGGGCTGGAAGGGACCTTAAGGATCATCCATCTCCAACGCCCCTGCCAAGGGCAGGGCTGCCACCCACTATCCCAGATTACTCCAAGCCACATCCTGGACTTTAACTTTCAGGGATGGGGCAGCCATAGCTGCTCTGGGCCCCTGTGAACTCCCCACAGAGCTGTGGGCTTGGGTCCCAGACACCCTCTCCTCACCCCCAGGCTGGCAGAGCACTGCAAGCTCACACTGTGCTTAGACCCTTCTCCTGCAAGAGTTTAGGGCAGCAGGATGAGCCCTGACAATCAAGGAAGAAATGCTGACAGCCTGTGCTCATCACACCTGCCCTGTGTCCGGGAGTAACTCTCTCTTGGGGACAGTCCTTCTCCAGTGACCCACACTGGGGTGGCACATGTGCCCCCAGAACAGGCACACAGCACCCACGGGATCCACCTGGTCTTTGAACAAGATCATGATGGACTCGAAACAAGTGAGCCTCCTCCAGGTGGGAATCAGGCACAGCTGCTTCCCAAACTGCCTCCCAAAGCTGGGAGCAGAGCTGGGGAGATGCTGCAGTGACGTTTGCAATAGAATCAAGAGCAATAATCCTTCAGATCCCCAGTGCCCCATCTGGCCCTTGCTACATCTGCCAGCCCCCCTCCCCAGGGACACACACAGTCCCTCTGAACCTCAGGTTTTGTTACAGATTTACTAAAATGTGTTTGCCAGCCCCTAAAACAGCGAGGATTTTTAAGGTAGCAGAGAGAATTACCTGTATATTCACTTGATAATCCGTTGGCCCGTGTATGGATCCGTATAATCCAAACCCAACTACAAATATCCTTTTGTTTACTGAGAACCTGCAGGAACAGAGCAGGAAAGTCAGTCCAAACTTGCCACTCCTGTATTGCTCCAGAACAAAGCCAATGCACAAATACCTCCACTTGTGCTGATTTTATATCTATGACTTAATCAAACCTACACAGATTTAAGTGCAGCCCTTACTAAGAGGTGAAACCCTGCACAGAAACCATCAGCCACATACTCATTCCTCTGATTGGCCCAGTGGGCTTGTGAGAAACACAAAGCTGCACAATGCCATCACCAAATTTCAGGGTCCAGGCTCAGGAAGTGTTTCCAAGTTGTGGCAAAACATCAGCACCCCCAAACACCCTCCAGGCCCAGGCAGGGCAGCCTGGGAGTGTGGAACAGGGCCCACCTCACAGTGCTCTGTCCAGCAAACACCACTGGATATTTCACTGCTGAGCCCTGGGGAATTGCTCATGTGCTGCTGAGTATTTACTGCATTCCAAATTTACCAAGAGCAGACATAAGGATTCAGTCACTCCTGAGTGAAGGAACCCTTGGAAGGAATCCCCAAGGAAGAAGGGGAAGGATATTTACCCCACTACAGCTCCAGTGCCTGCCAAGCTGCCAACAGCATTTCTTCATCTATTCACCAACTCTTTTAGGCCTGTTGTGTTTCCAGAACAAACACCTGGGGCAGGCTAGAAGCCTCTGCTCTGCAGCCAGCATGGAATATTCAGTGTTGGAACTGCCCCAGATGCTGCAGAGGCTGAACCTGAAGTCAAGCCCAAGCTGCAAAAGGTCTGTGAGTGTTAGAGGTGGGAGAGGGAAGCGTTTGGAGCTGGCAGCAGTTCCCACTGCCAGGGGTGAATGGAACAGAGGATCTCACCAACAGCTCCAGTGTAACAGAACCATCTTAAAAATTGTGAAGAGCTTCATTGCTGTGAGTCCCCTTCCACCCAAGATAAACACAAACCAGGAAAGAGTGAAGGCTTCCCGATTCCCTCCTGTCTTGCTCTCATTCCCTGGCCACACAAGCCTTGCAAAGCACCATTTTTAGCAACACCTGTCACCGTATCTGGGCTCTGCTGGTTCTCCACAAGCTCAAGTCTGAACAAACCGGGTGTCAGCAGAACTTTATGCCAACCCCCCTCTCCAACAGGAGAGGTTAAGGGGCTTCTACAAGCCACACTGACACCTGGAGCAGGAAACCAACCTGATGGAGCACTGGTTACCTGTCCCCCATAAAGCATGGCAAGGGGACAACTGGTGACAACTTTTTTATGTGCCCCTAAGCTGCAGGAAGCCTTTGGGGGGTTATTTCACTCCCCTTCCAGAGGCCTGTGCTGGGAGCCATGTTTCCTGGAAACCTTGGCCAACAGAGATGCAGAGTGACAGCAACATGCAGGTCAGTGCATCAGGGGATGGCTCTGCCCAGCAGAACACCTTCCCTTTGGGGTTCACACGGTGGGAAGTCGGGGTGTAGCACAGAACCTCGAGTGTTTAGAGTTAAAGCAGCAGAAAGCTCCGGAACACGAGCCCAGGGGAGGGAATGGGCGCGAGAGCTGACCTGATCCTGTCACTCGTCCCACTGTACCCCCAGCGGCTCTCCACCTGCTGGAAGCGGCTGATGCTGCACTCCTTGCCCCGCAGGCAGCACCGGGGCCGGTCGATGAACTCCACCCGCGGCTTCGGGTTCACCGTGAAGTGCAGGAACAGGCTCACCACCTCCCGGTCCGTCAGGATCCCCGACTGCGCAGGCCCTGCAGAGGGGAGGGAAGTGGCAATGCCGTCAGCCTGGGGGAACCACAGAGTCCTGGGATATTCTGCGGCAGGAGGGACCCTCAGGGATGATGAGTGCAGCCCCTGTCCCTGCACAGACCCCCCAACAATCCCACCCTGAGCATCCCTGAGAGCGCTGTCCAAACGCTCCTGGAGCTCTGGCAGCCTTGGGGCCGGGACCATTCCCTGGGGAGCCTGGGCAGTGCCCAGCACCCTCGGGGGGAAGAACCTTTCCCTGAGCTCCATGCCAAGCCCTGGCACGGCTCCAGCCCTTCCTGGGCTCCTGGCCCTGGCCCAGAGCAGAGCTCAGCCCCTGCCCCTCTGCCTCGTCTCGGGAGGAGCTGCAGCCCCCGAGGAGTCTCCCCTCAGTCTCCTCTGCTCCAGCTGAACGAGCCAAGTGCCCTCAGCTGCTCCTCAGAGCTTCCCCAGCTCTGTGTCCCTCCTCTGGACACTCTCCAACAACTCTGGGTCCTTCTGACCTTGTGGACTGCCTAAGCAGAAGGAATCCTTCTGGGATTTTCATGGGGAAACAAGCCTGACTTGCAGCTGGGAGCAGGCTAAACCCCCATCACAGATAGGATCCCAGGGGTACATCAGGATATTAAACCCCAGACAAAGGTGATGCCTGTTATCCATAGGACAGTCATGGGCTCCAGAGCCTTTATGGAACACTGAACTGTGATTAAGTGCCCAGCTCTGTAGAGCCCAAATGCACTGGGCTACTAAAAAATCCCAAAAGCATACAGCTGATCCTTGACCCAACCCTTCTAGGAATGATAACACTGGTAAGAGACAGGGATTTCCATACACCCACACCAGTGGTTCAGACATGATGGAGGACCACGAGGAGGAGGGAGAGGGACTGTCATGCAGTTACCATCAACTCAAAGTTGAAGAGTATTTTTACTCAAGACAAAGGTGGTTCAGCTCATTCCTTCAGGCATTTAATCTACATTTTGCATTTTAATACCTTTACTGTAGAACCTTGGGAAAAATGCTAATGATTTTAGCAAGAGCTGGAGCATGTTCTCATCTTTTCTCCAGTAACAAGACATTTTTTCCAGAGTGATCACAGAATCACAGAGCAGTTTGGGTTGGAAGTGACCCTAAAGCCCATCCAGTGCCACCCCTGCCATGGACAGGGACACCTTCCACTGTCCCAGGCTGCTCCAATCCCAATGTCCAACCTGGCCTGGGACACTGCCAGGGATCCAGGGGCAGCCACAGCTGCTCTGGGCAACCAACTCATAATGCTAAACCCAATCTTTGCAAACTACTTCAAACGCTTTCAAAAGTGAAACTAGATAAAAATTAGTCTGTCAGCCTAACACTCAAAAGCCTCTCTACAGCAAAGGCTTTGAACAGAAACAAGACCCCTGAGTACTGGGGAAACAACAGCAGTTAAATGCTCTTTAGTGTGGTGAGCAAACGTCTAGCTACTTGTAGGTCCAAAACTACTTGTAACTGGTTAAATTCAGCACGATGTTACCCAGCCATAACCTGGTCCAATTATGCAATGGGGAGAGACTCAAGAATTCAAGGAAGTCGACTCCTCAAAAGTAAATGAGCTTTTGGATACTTTGTTCAGCAAAAATAAGGCTCGTTGATCGTGTCTGAACTTATCCCAGGTTGCTGCAACTCACTTCTGCAATGTTTCAAATTACCTGCTCTAGGGGGAGGGAGGGACACATTTGCCAGTTAAAACATCTTCATGCAAAACCCCACGTTTGATAGCAGATTATACAATAAACTGGTGAAACCACTGCTGTAAAATTCCCTCTTTTTTTGGCTTTTGGGAGAGAGGGATGTGGAGGGGAAAGGCTTCCCTCTCCTGTCTCTACCTGTCTCACCACAGAAATCAGAGTCACTCAGAAAATCAGAAAAAGCTGAAGGAATTCCAAGTTAATTCCTTGTTTAAGGAACAGTTGATCATTGCAGTTCCCCAGGTCTGGGGGGGCTTTGTTCATCTTTTAGGTCAAAGTGGATGAAGAAAACTGGAGAATTTCACAAAGGTCCCAGTGGGACAGGCAGTTTGTGGGGAGGGGCACTGGCACTCCCAGCTCAAAGCCCTCAACCCTAACACACCAAAATTAATACTTTCCTTCCAGTGACAGAATGATACGAGGTCACAAGGAAGAGTTTAAAGAAATGGGATCTGCAGAAAAATGCAAAGGCCTTTGCTTCACTAAGCAAGCTCCTTCTGAAGAAATCCACATCCCTAGGGCCACATCACAGCTGTGACAGGCCAAGCAGAGAGTGGGGACCAAATCTGAAGCAGAGATTTTGTCCTTACTAACAGCCCTCCTCACATGGGAACAGGGACGTGTAGGACTGACCAGCTGACGCCAGCACTGCCCTGAGAAGTGACCTGCAAAGGAAGGGGGTCAGTGCCCCTGTTTGCTTCTGTGTACACAGCACTGCAGCCTGAAACAAGCTGCAGTCTGGAAAATGGCTCCACTGTGTCTTTTTAGCATGAAAACTACTTAAACCATTTGCCAGCTTTCAATCCCCGGGGAATCACCAGAGGTTGAAGTGAAAGACAACAAGAAATGAAAACAAAACAAGGCAATCTATAGTCCAAGCTGTGAAATGAGTTAGACATCTCTGTGGATCAAGATCTTAATGTAAACTTGAAAAATGCTTTGAGACACAGACTAAACAACACCAAGCCTGCAGCTCAAAGAACATTTCCAAAGTTTTTCAGATATGGGGCTCTGCTCTGAGCTCTGAACAGGATTGGCAAGACACGGCCAATACCACCACAGGCAGAGGAGGGGGAGAAACATCCCCATTTCTCTTTGGGAACAGGCTATGATCAACACCAATTATTCGCAACTCCATTAGCTTTGTGTAGTTTAAATGCTCGGGATGGCTGGAAAGTGGAGCAGGTGAAGCCCAGTTTGGATCTTTGCTCTCAGCTGAATGGGACATTAACCATCCAACCATGCTGTGAGAGCAAACACAGCTGTGATCCCCCCTGCTCCTCCCAGAGGAGCACCACAGGCTGTAAAATGAGTGAATGGGCATGGATGAAAATAGCATTTAGACAGTAGATTTTGTAATCACAGAATCACAGAAGGGTGTTGGAAAGGTCCTTAAAGCTCATCAAGGTCCACCTCTTGCCATAGGCAGGGACACTTTCCACTATCCAAGAGTACTCCAAGCCCTGTCAAGACTGGCTGTGGACACTTCCATGGATGGGGCAGCCACAGCTGCTCTGAACAACCTGTGCCAGGGCCTCACACCCTTCTACTACAGAATTTCCTTCTGATATTCAGTCTAACCCTGCCCTCCTTCAGGAGGCCATTCCCCTGCACATTCGTTGTGCTACCACTTCAGGCCCTTATGATATGTCCCTTTCCAGCCTTCTTGTAAACCCCTTTTAGGCTGAGAATGGGAGAGAATGAGGGAAAATGGGGAGGAATAGGGGATAATCTCATATTTAAATCACTACAGGACACACAGAGAAATCCTCTTTGATGTGATTTGACTCTCTGTAGCTGAGGAAAAGCAAAGACCAGGATTGCCCAGAAACACCTTTGTTGAGTTACCTGCTGCAAACTCCTCAATAGTCATCAGTGGGAAGCGGATAAGGGAGAGAGCTTTGCCCAGAACCTTCCGCTTGTTCTCTGGAATCACCTGGAGCTGCTGCCGCTGACACTCGGCCTCCGACCAGCGCACCACGGCATTGAACAGGCGAACCTCCCGGATCCCCAGGGTGTCCCTCTCCAGCACTGCCACCAGGGTGTCTGCAGGGCACGACAACAGGCACAGCTTCAACCTCTAACCCCAAATGAGCCCCTTTCAGCTCGCCAGGAGGACACCGTGCACAGCCAAGGTAAAAGAGGAAGCGGCTGAACCAAGAGCATCTCCCAAAAGTGCTGCCTGCAGCCTCTGAGGAAGATTTATCTGCATATTCCATCAGCAAGGAACTCACTGGAGCAGCAAACAGAGCCCATTTAATTGGCATGTTAATGCAAGTGCAGGAGGACAAATTGCAACTTGCTTGACGTCAAATTTGGATGAAATAAGCAGCATGAAAGCCAGAAGGTGACCCGTGCCTTACCTCCACAGCCCATCTCATTAGAAGAAGGTTAAAGCCTGAATTTTAATGTTCATTAACTGTGCCCAGCAAGTTTGGAAACTGCAGACAGTAATTAAAATAGCCAGTCCTTGCTTCCAAAAACACACCACCTTTTTAACTCCAAAACCTGACAAAGACTTGTGGAACAAAGCCAACTCTACAAAAAAAGGCAAGTTTACACCCACCCAAAACCTGCCAACATCAACACAGGAAGCAGGCTTTGTGTCATGCCCAGAAAATTCAAGTTGCACCAAAGTAAGCAGACTACTAAAAACAGGGCATTTCTGCAGGCAAGGCAGAAAACTCTTTGGCAAATTCCCTGTCTCCAGCCACTTTGTGCCAGACTGTTCAACTGATTGCTCCAGAACAGCCAAGCCACAAGTGCCAAGCATTATTAACCTGTAACAACTTTGGAGACAAGCTGGTTATGAAAGCAGGGAGAGAGAGAGGGAGGGTTGGAAAAGAGCTTACCCAGGTCAATGTCTGTAAACCCCTCTGCATTGATGGCATCTGAGGTGTTCTTGTCTATGTTCTCCAGGCACAGGCTGGCCAGCTGGGGCTCATCAAACAGCCGGGCCTAGGCAGGAAAGAGCATCATTAACAGAAAAGGTATTTTAAAGTTTACACTAAGAACCCCCCTTCCCCTGCCACAGCCCATCTTCATTAGCAATACCATGCCTGACTGCACCAGGAATCCACTGGGCCTTTCACAAGCAGTTAAGCATGACAAGGCAAACACTAGAAAATTCTGTGTTTGGCAGCAGCCCTGGTTCAGCTGTGCATGTCTTCAGGCACGTCTTTGTTCTAACATGGCCTGGGTGCAGGCACTGATCGTGCTTTCCAGCACCACACTGACCCTGTCAGCTGAGCACAGGCAATTTTTACATCATTCTTCTATTTACAAGAAAGCTTTGCCTACTGACTCCAGGCCTGCTTGCTCTAGGAATAATGCAGAGGCAGCTTATTCTGTAAGAACAGCCACACTGATCTCATGTATTAGCAAGTAAAAGCTGTAGCAGCAGTGCCTGTGTGTCCTGGGGAGCCCTACAGGGTACACAGCCCGCTTAGTGCATTTCCATGTTTTGCACAGAAACAGCTACTCTAATCCAGTTACCTTAAAGAATTTGTCCCAAAATAGGTTACTATTCCAAGGAAAGCCTGTACACAGCCTGGAGAGCTGCTCAGAATTTTTCTGCCCAGCTTAAGTGAAGTCCTGTAACAATTCTGCTGCCACTTCAGATCACCCTGGACTGCCACATGTTACCAGCGCTGTGCCCAGCATCAGCAGAAATGGGTGGAACACACAAAAAACACTAAATGACCTCTTACTGCAGTGCTTTGGTTTTGTTGTTTAAGAAGGAACTGTCTTGACATCATACCTAACAAGAACACATCAGGACTTGAACTCGCTGCCACATGTAAGGTTTAAAACTCATGTTTTGGGCTGGGAATTCCATCATTCAGGAGGTACCTTCAGGAGCATCTTCTGCTTCTCCCCTGCTTGTGGCATGCAGAGCTCAGCAAGGCAAACCTTTGTGCTGAGACCTCAAGTGCAGGAAGCTGAAACAACTTTCTCAGGGCCCAGGGAAACTTCAGCAGTTGTCACCTGCTCCAGGCGCTGGAGGGCTGCCAGTGCCTTTACACTCTTGGCATCAAGAGCTGTGACTGACTCAGACTTCACTACTCCAGTGGCTCTTTGGACACGTGAGGACTGTGATTATGCTTGCAGAGCTCCCCCACAGCAGCTCCAGGCAAGCTTTATTTCCTTGCTGATCAAAGTGACACTTGGATGTACGTGTGGCATGAGAGAGGATCATGGCTCACTACAAGGCACAATCAATTAGGAAAGCTGTTTGCCTCTGATATTTCTGCCACTGATCAGCAGCAGCTTGAGACAGACAGGGACACAGCTGCTGGACCAGCAGATTGGGCAGACACAAAAGGAGGCTTGGGGCTCTACCTGGGATCTCAGGTCCATGATCTTAAGACTATTGGGCAATGCCTTGTACAAGATATATCTCAGGTCTGTAACTTACTGAAGAGGTTGTTGGTTTGATGCAGTGGAAGCAGAAAACAGGCAGGTTTTCACACTATAGGACCAGAAACAAGAGGGTTATGAGAAGAGATCCTTTCAGTGAGGTGCAGCCAGCCACTGAGATCAGGCACTTTTCTCAAGCAAGACCTACCTCAAACATCTCAGACTTGATATAGAGAAATAGTGAATATAAAACTAGATGGGAATCACTACTGATGATTATACAGAATGAACAAGCCACAAACAAAAGGAATCAGGAAAGCCTTTCCCCATCTGTCTCAGTGCCACTGAGAGAATGTCAGGCAGTATTTTGGTTTTGGTACCTGAAACACAAGGATATCTTCCTCCTTTGCCAAAGAAGGACCTTTGTGACCCGTAAGGAAGTCACCATAAACCTAAATATTACCTCGCCAAAGCTACAAGCTCAACTGCAGAGACACAGGGAGCCTCAAAAAAGCCAACACCTCTAACCCACTGTAAGACAATGGCTAACTTAAGATGCCTCCCCAAAACTTCAGCCTACAGGACAGATCTGATCCCAGCTCCTGGCTAACACCTTCTGATCTTTCCGATCTGCAGTGGCTGAACTCAAAGAACAGGAGAGCTGCAGTCAAGGAACTGCAACTGTCCCACCATGCATCAGATGGGAGCACAGATTTGGCTGCCATCACCCAATCAAGAGCCTTCCAGCCCTGAATCTGCCTCTGGGAAGTGCAGTGTGCATCCCCATCTGTCTCATCTCTCTATGGCCTGTGGAAAAGGGCCAGGTTAAAGAAGATGTGTAAAGAAGGCCATGGAGTGTTGCAGTAGTAGCTGAACCCAAGCAGTGACAAGTGTCTGCAACAGCAGTGTGACATGGAACTGCTTTCAGAACTGATCCAAATATTTAAACTCAAAAAAAAAAAAAATCCCAGCCTAATCCGGAGCAAAGAGCTCAGCAGTGACTGCTTCAGGCCAGCACTGCTTCAGTATCTGCAAAACTGCTGCTGTAGCCACTGCCACCCACATGGTACCTACAGCCACAGCCTGAGAGACACCTGCACAAGGGGGAGAAATCCAGCAGCCAGGGATGCTGGGCAAGGCAGGCAATCCTGCAGAGCCAGACCACCTTAGTGTGCTGGTTCACTACAACTCAGTGCAGCTGGGAAACTCCTCTGCAAGCTCTATTTAACATCAGGCATCACAGCAGCCCTCCTGAGCTGGCTGATGAGAAATAGCCCTCCAGAGCCACTCCAGGCTGCCCACTCCCTAAAGGAAAGAAACACACACACAATGCCTGTGTGCTTCTTATTCCTACAGCTCCTAGAACAGGGTGTCCCTGGCAGTGCCAGACTCCATCACACAGGTGACAGCACTGTAGTTGTCACCAATATGGCATCAGCTGTTTGAGAAAGAGTGACAGGGAGCAGAGAGAGAAGATAGGGCTGGGAAACAGGGACAGTAGTGATGCTTAACCTGGATGCAAAGTCTGATCTTTTCCAAACTGAGCAGAAGTTGTAAAAACTATCTCCTACTTTGCTGCTTGAAGAGTCAAATGCAAGGTGGAGGAGCCCAACCCTCAGAGACTGGATCAGACCCAGGAACAGCTGCTCTGACACTCTGGGTCTGTGAGCCTTCAGTGCAGGAGGCTGGGCTGGAACAGGCTGAGGAAGAGAACACCTGGCTCCTCTCCCAGGAAAGTAAACCAAAGCACTCATGAAAAAGTTTTCTTTCACCCCCCCACTTCAGGGAATGTATTGCAGAGAAGTCCTTCAAGGAATGGCTGAGCAGGCAGACACAGCACTGAGAGGAAGCTCAGCACTACCAGTCCTGATTCTGTAACACATGGAAATCCTCTCATTCCACTTTTCTTCTTGGCAGATGAAATCTTTCCACCCTGTTAACTCCATCCCCAGCTCACACTCTGGAAGGAACCACCTGCCACAGCGAAACAGAAAGATCTGAAACAGCAGCAACATTTGCTGTATTTTACTGCTCTTTGTAAGAACCTGCTCAGCAGCGCTGGACTCCTGGAAGGAAGAATTCAAAACAACCCAGAACTGCTCCACTTCGGATAATCAACTCTGTAACATCCAGAAAACTCCCATTTTCTGACTGTGCTCGACCTTGCTGAAGGCAGATGATCACAAACTCACCTGAGTTAACAGCATGAATGCGTTGTCTGCTCGGAGGTTTTTTTTAAGAAACTCCACACAATGAGCTTCCAGGGCTGGAACTGCATATTTCTTAGCTGTGTAAAGTGTTGTCATAACAGTCTCTGGTCCAATCTGAACTTCGTCTGAGTAAAGAAATCTGAAAACATGCAAACAAACACTGCTGTGGTCAATTTAGATAACAGGGTAAAACCCCTGCAATTCACAGAAAACATATTTGTGCCTCTGCCCTCATCCTGGTCCATTTCCTCTACTGGAGAGACAGAAGGGTATTCACATCCTTTCCACTGACTGTAGTTTACCAAGATTCATATTTTTTTTTAATTTTGTAGCAGATATTTTACAGTATAACTTTTAACAGCTGGGATTTCCACTGAAGCAGCTCAAATCCCTTGAATCCCAACACCAGTGAGCTCTTAGCTTGCCACCTATAACGGGCTAAAAGAGTCTCTGGCCAAGTGCACCCCTTAAAATTCATATTTTTGGCTGTTCAATTAGAATAAACAAGGACAAAGATTCAACCTTGCCTGCCTCCCTCAGAAGAGAAATTCCATTTGACACTAATTCAGAAGTGCTGAGAAGCACTCAGACATATCCATCCACTGCACACAAGGTGCTTTACCCACACTCCCCTTTCTCATCTCTTCACTTTATAGATTGAATTGTTTCATTTCATGACACAGATGTTTAAGTACAGCTCACAGTGTAACTTCAACATAAAGCAAGAGTTAATTGCAGTGAAAAACAAGGACTGCCATGCTGCAGCAAAGCACCAGCCTTCACTGTTAGGCCAAAACAAGGAAGCACATTCATGATCTGAAAAACAAAGGAAACCTGATTGAACTCCCTCATACCTGAACTCACCAGAGACAGCAGGAACTGAGAGGCTGAGCTCAGTAAAACCAGTGACATACTGGTGTTAGTCCTTATTACAGAATCCCAGAATGGTGTGGCTTGGAAGGGACCATAAAGGCTGTCATGTTCCAGCCCCTGCCATGGCAGGGACACCTTCCACTGTCCCAGGCTGCTCCAATCCCAATGTCCAACCTGGCCTGGGACACTGCCAGGGATCCAGGGGCAGCCACAGCTGCTCTGGGCACCCTGTGCCAGCCCTGCCCACCCTGCCAGGGAACAATTCCTTCCCAATATCCCATCCAGCCCTGCCCTCTGGCAGTGGAAGCCATTCCCTGTGTCCTGTCCCTCCATGCCTTGTCCCCAGTCCCTCTCCAGCTCTCCTGGAGCCCCTGTAGGCCCTGCAAGGGGCTCTAGGCTCTCTCCAGAGCCTTCTCTTCTCCAGGCTGAACAGCCCATGCAGAGTGAGTTTTTTTACTCTATCTCCCTCAACCAGTAGAGCATTTGCCAGTCAGGATCTCAAAGGCACAAAGCACAGAAATGTGATATTGTGTTAACTGTGCTTGGCATTCTTATTCCACAGGATATTTTGGAAACTCCAGCAATTTCTTGCTCTGCATTTCTCTGAAGGGGACACAACAGCAGGTTGTGTGGCTGCTACTCCTGGAAGCCTCATGCAGCAGCAGGGCTCTTCCAGGGGGATGCAAGGCAGCATTCCCATCTGCAGCAGAGGAGCTCCTGCTGCTCCAGCTAGAGGAGCAGGATGCATTCAGGGAAGCATCAACAGTGTGATCCACAGGCAGGGAAGCACTGTCACTGATGAAAGCAGGCTTTTGTGCTGCTCCAGGGCATTTGTCAATAACAGCCTCATGCCACAGGTTCGTCAATGTGTTTTGCACACATCCCTTCCCAGCCCCATCTGCACTGAGCAATCCTTTCTATTCCAAGATTAAAAGAACACAGTGGCTCTAAAACCAATTATTTGTTTACTTCAGTGACCGTGTCAGTATTTCTGTTTGCACAGTCCAGTGTGTGCTAAGAGCAACAACAAGAGAGGCTCAAACTGTAAAAAAGCCCAGTATGAATTTAAAAGAACATTTAGACTGCAATCCCAGACAATCAGATGTGTTCTCATCTTCAGGTTAACATGAAAATAATAACAATAATAATGAAAAAGAATCTCTTACACAAGTACAGCAGACCTATTGAAGGTAACTAGCCCACAAACTCCATCACAATCCAGCATCCAGACTGGACCTTCTGCAGAACATTCAGGATGGGCACTTTGTCCCTGGATAAGCTCCTGATCCTACAGCATTAGATCATGGCTTGGACCAAGTCCAGAGACATATGTAAGGATCAGCTGCCATTCCAGATCAGTGTTTGCAGGGACTGGTTTTACTCCAGGAACTCATTCCACATACTTGGTCAGCTTTCTCCTGGAAGCAGCACCCAAACTTCCTCTGGCACATTTAAGCTCTGAGCATTTTAAAAGCTATTTAAACTTCATTAATAGATTTAAGCACCCAAGATGTCACTGGACCATGGGCACAGCTCAGAGGGCACTGAGGTAATCCACCAATGACTTCTTCCATAAAAAAAATGTAAATATTTCTGTTGAAATCCACTGAAACTCATAATTTTGTCTTTTGAGAAGATAGGTCTCTTCTGAAATGTCTCTGTTTAATCAAGTGCTGAAATGTCAGCACTGGCAGGGAAACAACAGGACTTCTGCCTCTAATTCACTGGATATTTGGGCCTCACTAAGATTTAAAGATAGTTACAAGCCCTGCACTCCAGAGAGATCCACATGGCTGACAGGCACACACCAATTAGAGGGATTCCCCATGTGCTGCTGTCTGCTTTAAAGCCAGCCAAAGGGGAAGGGGCTCGGGGCTCTCAATTATTTCTGGCCTTTCATTCTAGCCCAGATCAATTTTGAATTATTCCAAGGTAGCACAGGCAAAACCAAAGCACTTTCTGAAGGTAAAGCAAAAAGTGTGCCAGAGCTATATATAGTGACTGCTCCCAGTAGGAAGCAAGTGGGGAACATGTCAAGAGCACAGGACTGGAAACCCCTGGAAGTAGGTTACAGAAATCCTATAGAAACAGGACAATGACTTTCCAGCATCCATTCAGGACTGCTGCTGGATGTTGTACAGCACCAGCCAAGCCTAAAGGAATTGGTGAATAGGATGTCACAGCCCCTTCCTCCTCCTCTGCCAGCACACAGACTTCCAACACACACTGGAAATGTAAATTCAAGCCCAGCTCTCCAAAAGAGGAATAAAACCCACATAAAGGGTGCTATGACATGGAATGGCTGACATTTATTACACACCCTTGCTTACCTGTTACAACTTGTTCATGACCTAAACCAGCTCCAAGTATTTGTAACTTACAGAGCTTTCAAAAGATCACTTTTCCCTTCTTCTCTCAAAAGAGCATTTGGATTAAACCAACTAATAAATATGAAGCTATAACACAATGGCCAATATTATATATTTTTTATATAAATATATTTTTAAATGCAGTAGCTACAGTAGACTTTTACCCAAGAAAAAAGGGATTTATATATCAATAAACAGATCAAAGAGGCATTTCATTTTGGAAGTTAACAATCTCTGCTCTACAAATACTTCCCCGCTTTCATTAAAAACATTTTTTTCCTACACTAAATCTGTGCATCCCAGTTATCCTGTGCTTTAGAAGCAGCTTACTTGAGCAGAGCTAGGAAGGCAGCAGGCTCCACATCAGGCAGCTCAATCTCTGTAGAGGTTGTGGCCATCCCACCATTAAACATTGCATCGAAGACAGCACTGCCCACGGCCAGCACGAACCTAACGCGGAAAAAAACAAACATGCAAATAAAATCTAATGTTAAACCATATTAATATGCCAAAAAAAAATCCCAGGCTGGTTGCTAATCCCCAAAGCCACCCTCAGGGAAAGCAAATCGTTTGTGGAGTTAAAGCAAAAGTGTTTTGCAAGAGTAGGGAGGGTCAGGCTTGCTGCTCCTTAACTGCAAAGCACCAAACAAACTTCCTTCTGAGCCCTGTCCTGGCATACAGCACAGTAATGGCTCCCCAAAGGCCACATTTTGGGAATTATGGAATAGAATACACATGGCTGCTTTGTTAAGTCCCTGCAGGAGCCTATGTATCATCCCAAGGTGGAGAAGCAAAGAAAGCAAAGTTAAGGAGTTCAAGTTCTGCCAGCAAATAGAGCCCAAGTCGTGCTGCAATCCCCCACAGTCACCTGCTGGAAACATTTATGGAAAACTTGTCACAGCACACTATCCATCCTCTTCTGCAGACCCAGGCACACATCTTTGGTGATGGCAGAGCAAGATCAAAAACACAAAATTGCAGCAGCACCAGGAGCTGCAGATCCCAAGCCCTGGCTCAGGAGCTGCCCTCCCCAGGCATGGTGCTGAGTCCTTGCATGGATAACTGCTCTGGGCTCAGCCCAGAGGGAAGAACAAACCTGCCTCAGAGCCAACCAGCACAGGGAGGTGCACACAAACCCTTCAGCACTGCTGGCAGCTTACGTGGGAATTACTGGCACAGAGAAGGATGTTACTGGCTCTAAAGGAAGCAGGAACTTGCACAAAACAGGTTTGAGACCAAAAATTATGTCCCAGCACTCCCATGCAAACAAGATAATTCTCCCCTGACAGACAACATCTCCTGTTTCAGGAGGAGGCCCAGGCCTGGGCTGCTGAGGGGCCTGTGTGCATTTAAGCTGCTGTACTTTAGGACTTAGAAAGCCATTTTGAGAACTTCCTTGTTCAAAAATACAGAGATGAGCTTTTGCCATGATGGACTCCTGTGTCTGCCACCATGCAGCCCCCTGAAGTTAAACACTGAAGGTCACAGCTCAGCAGTGTGGGGAAGCAGAGCAGCCCAGGCTGCAGGAGATGACTACAACCACTTCTCTACCAAGTAGGAAAAGGAAAAAGCTGGAATATTCCAGGCTCTTGCTGCAGTGGTTTGATGCACAGTTTCAGAGAAGCAGCAAGAACTGCACGCAGCAGGCATGGGGCAGAAACATCCAGCCCAAGGAAAGTCCAGCACTAAAGGGGAATTTCAGTCAGATTTAATAGGAAATAACCTTTTTAAAGTAGGAAATTTCCATTTAAGCAATGTTTTCGTTTTGTCACTTTTCACTCCCCTCCCATCCAGAGGAGTTTTCCCAGGGATACAATGGAGTGAAGCTCCATGGATGTGCCAGCCTCGTTTGCTGTGACAGAGTTTGGCTGAACGAGCTGGCTTATTGTTCCTGATGGGCTCAGGGAGCTCGGGACAAACCACAGTGGTTACAAAAAAGTACACACATGCATATTTCTGTCAAACTATTCTCAAGAAAAATGTCAAGAACAAATAAAAACCTTCCCCACAATACCAGAATTCCCAGATGAAACAAAAATCCTTGTTACTCCAAAAGCAGCAATGGTGGCAAAACAATCGCTGGCTTTGTCTGATACTAAAAATTAACATATATTAATTGCACTCTCAAATTTTCATTCTCACAGCCAGCCCAGTATAGGTCATCAATGAGCAAGAGCTTTCAGAAGCTATTTGAAAAGGGCATTCATTTAAAAAAAACTCTCGAATGTTTGCTTCCATTTCAGTCGGGACAAATCAGTCAGATTTTGTAAACTGCTGAGCCCTAATAGGATCCCAGGAGGTGGCAGAGAAACACAGGACTCCACATTTGAAGTTCTCTTAAAACATTAAGAGAACATAATTAACATAAGAAAATCCCTCTCTCGCCAGTGTTTTCTTACTCTTTCTAAAACGAACATTTAATGCTGCTCTAAAGACACTCCAGGAAAAGCAGGGATGTACACCATTCCTCCTACACGATCTACCAGCTTCCCCCAGCCATGCAGGTCTGCAGGAGGAAGAGATGGAGTTTGTTTCAGATGGGAAAATCCAACAGAGGGTTATTTTTAAACACTTTTGTGGCCAAAACAGAGTGGACTACTGAAGAGAGGCAGAGAAATAAGCAGAAACAGAACAAAGGAATTAAGAAAGCAACACCTGATTTCTCCTCATTCCCTCTGCACCAGGAAGAGCCAAAGTAAACTGTCAGCAATAAGAGTCACAGGAACTTCCTTGAGGTTCATTTGTCTTCAAAAGGATCCAAAGCTGACTCTACCAGCTGTCAAAGGCCTGCAAGAAAATCTTTCCTTCTGCTATTCTGCTTCCTACCACAACTTTCACTTCTTCATGTTCACCTTGGCACCTCCACCTGTCACCTGTTTCATCTGCACACCCAGCAGTGCTGCTCCCTTTCTAGGCACTACAGCAACAGCAATAAAAGACATCGCTCCAAACCCACAACTACCCCACTGCTGCTGCACAGCTCCCTCCTCCATCTGCACCACTGCGGAGAAACCTTAAAATATCTATTCCAGAGGAGCTGGCACAGGAACACAGCAACACGTGACATGCTGGAGCTCGGTGACACTGTAGGTGACTAGAAGCTGCTGCTGGTGTGCTGGCTGCAGAGGATGCAGAGCCAGGTGACAGGAGCAGGAGGCAGGAGCAGCCCTGCACGGGAGCAGGAGCCACGGGACACCTCGGCCGCAGGACTGAGTGAATACATGCCCGAGAAAAGGCAGGATGGGCTCAGATGAGGCTCCTGGAAACAACAGCCAAAACTTTACTCAGGCTGTCCCCAAGCTGCAGATCTCCCAGGCTGGAGCACACAAGGGGTTGCATCCCCACATGCTTGCCCTGCTCACTTTTGGGCCCTATTTTCTGGCCAATTAACAAGTTTAATTATGACACCCATGCAGCTCCCGGTTGATGAGGTTTAGGCATTTCTAATCCCTTTGATATTGTGCTCAATGAAGCAGATCTGGAAAAAGACAGAAAAGCCTTCCCTCTTTACTGCTGGGTCTAATCAATGTGTTGACCTTGGCCATGCTGGCGCCGTGAGGCTTCGAGGCAGCTGCTCGGCCCAGCCTTGACATCGAAAAAAAATTAAGGCCATCCCATCTTCTTCACGGCTGATTCAGCAGCAAGAGGGAAGGAGCTGAAGGCTCAGACACAGAGCCTGCTTCAGGGTAGGAAAAAACTTCCACAGGGTCTGGAACCTCCTCCAGGTGGGAAACACCTCATCTTCCCAGGGCTGCAGATACCTGGACAGGTGACCCTTCAATCAAATCCTTTTACACCTTTCATCTACAAACTGGGCTCTCATTCATTCAAAAATGAATGTTTGCTCTTAGTTGCTCTGTGAGGTTTCTTTTGTCTGTCTCTGTGACTTGATACGAATTGCTGAGCCACAGAATCACAGAGCGGTTTGGGTGGGAAGGACTTAAAGCTCATCCAGTTCCACCCTGCCATGGCAAGGACACCTTAAACTGTCCCAGGCTGCTCCAAGCCAGTCCAGCCTGGCCTTGGACACTGCCAGCGATCCAGGGGCAGCCACAGCTGCTCTGGGCACCCTGCGCCAGGACCTCCCCACACTCACAGGGAAGAATTCTTTCCTGATATTAAATCTCAATCTCTCCTCCTTTCAGATTAAGGCCATTAACTGAATTTGCCAGGCACACTCAGAAACACACCTGAACCTACAGCTCAGTCAGAAACCTCTTCCTGGCACCAGCCCCTGTGGACAATTGTGCTCACTGGGCACACCTCACTTCATTACCTCCACATTCCCTCAGCTCCATCCAGGAGAAGACTGACCAGGAATCACCTGCACCATCACTTCCAGCTCCCACAGGACTGCATCTCTTGGATTATTTGTACTGCCCAGTCTGCTGCCAAAGCCATTCCCAGCACACCATGAAGTCATATCGAGGATGACAGGCAGGATGCTGCAGACCACTCCTCAAGGCACCACAAGGACCTGTCCAAGAGCCCTATTTAGGAGTTGCTCCTCCTGCAGCCATGCTTGGTACCTGACCTGGTCTGAAAATTTACACAATTCAACCAGACTGCTCTAGTATTTACCTGTGACCTGTGCACTATTGTGCGAGGGGGTTTACACTGGATATCAGGGAAAATTTCTTTACAGAAGTTGTAAAGCACTGGAATGGGCTACCCAGAGGAGTTATCATCCCTGGAAGTGTTCAAAAAACCTGTGGATGTGGCACTTGGGGACATGGTTTAGCGGTGAATGTAGTGGTGCTGGGCTGATGATTGGATTTGATGATCTTAAAGGGGTTTTCCAACCTTAATAACTCTGTGAGTTTATTATTTCAAGCATCTGACAAAGCACCAACACCTGCCCTGGTCACTGAAACAGAACAGCACCTCTCCAACTGAACCCATGTTTGCTTTGCAACTCAATTCCAACACAAAGTATCTTCTGCTGTTGAGCTGCTGTGGGAAAACTGAGCACAGAAGGGGTCTGGGTGGTTTTATTTTAGGCTCTTATTTCTGAAATAACCACAGTACTTCATGAATCACCAGGATATCCCAACTGTAACATCACACGGACAAGTTTCACTAATCCTTAGGTAGGATGTCACACCATGACACACTCCATTCTATCTTTATCACCCAGAGCACCAGAAGAATTTCAGAGCAATTAAGCAGCATCTCTCTTTGGAGACTTTTTTTTTCCCAAAGCTTCATTTATTTTCCATTTATTTCTGGGCTGAACATCACCTATCCCCACCCAGAAAGTCTAGTTCCCAGGACAGGAGCAAGCTTACCCAAATACTAAGTTTCAAATTTTAAGAGAGAAAAGCTGACACCCTAAACACTTAAACCAGCCTAGAACAAGTGTGGTTTGTTCTAAAAGCGAAGAGAGAAAAGGGGGAAATCTGAAAGGAAAATTTCCAGGAATGTGAGCACTTAGGAGAAAAGCAATAGTTTGAAACTGTTTGGAGCAAGACTCCCTTTGCCAAGCACCACTTCCAGGTACACCAAGGAACCTCCCTCACCCAATTAAAGTTGGTTCCATCTCTGAGCTCTTCCTTGGGAGGCCCTTCCCGGGGTAGAGGGAAGAGGGTGGCACACATGGATTCACTGGAGCTCCCCCGAGGAACCAGATGAATGTCAATCAGCCACATCACATCTGCATCATCCAGGTGGAGGCGATTCCCAGCTCCTGGATTCCCAGCTCCTCTGAGCTGCAAATTCTTAAATGGCAGCTCAGCCTTAAGCATTAACCTCCACGGGTTACTCAGGCCCAGGTGTCATTCTCAACACAGCTCTTCCAGCTCTTACGGTACTGGATTAACCCCCAAAACACAGGGCTTTGGAGAAGAATTAATAAAGGTAATTTTAAAATTAAAATGTTGTACCTGAAATTTGGGCTCTCAAGTCACTGTTCTTTCATTTCCATCCCCAACGCTCTCACTGATTTTGGTGATCCCTGTCAGCAGGGACCAGGCAGCCTGGGGGACCATTCCTCCCCTCCTCTGCTTCCCACCAAACCAAGGGGCTGCTTCCAAGCGAGACCCAGGATTTGGGGTTTCCACGCTGTGCCTGCCCCATTCACACCACCCCTCTAGGAAAAACATTCTCACCCAAACCCTGGGCCCATCCCGGGCTGGTGATCGTGAGGAGAGGCATGACACTGACCCAAGGGCTGGGAGAGATCTGGGACAATCTGACTGACTGACCACAACGGGGGTCCTGTGCTCAGGATGTATCCCTGAGCAGGGAATGAAATGTGGGGTGCAGTTATGTGACCCCCTTTTCTCTCTTCACAGGGGAGGTGCAGCAGCCCAAACCCTGAGCCCCTGTACCCCACTGGATGGCACATCACCACCGGAGGCTGCAGGAGAGCCCACAGCACTCCCAGGGCCATCTCTGAGGGGCAGTTTTGGGGACGAGGGGCCATCCCTGATGGAGAGTAAAGGGATCATCCCTAAAGAGATGAGGGGCCATCCCTGAGGAACTGTTCTGAGAATAAGGAGACATTCTTGAGGGGCAGTTTTGGGGGACAAGGGGGCAATTCCCTGAGGAGGAACATGAGGGAGCAAAGGCAGCAATCACCGAGAAGCCGTTTTGGGGGATAAGGGAGTGATTCCCTGAGGAGCAACATAGAGGGGTGAGGAGAGCAATCTCTGATGGGCAGTGAGAAGGATGAGGCAATTCCCCAAGGGAATATGTGAGCAATTCCCTCAGGGAATAACGTGGGGGGCAAGACGAGCAATCCTCGAAAGGCAATTAGGGGGATGAGAGGGTAATGAGGAGGAGCGATGCCTGAGGGGCAGTTTTGTCAAATAAACGGGCGATTCCCTTTATCAGTGCGGGGAGCGTGAGGGGACGCCCCCAGGGCCATCGGGCCGGCCCTCACGACCCTCCCGAGGCCTGGGACCTGTGGCCACCCCGCAGGGCCGTGGGGCTGGGCCCTCCCTCACCCCTCATCCCTCCCGGCTCCCCTCGCGTGGGATCCCCGCGCCCCCCGCCCCACCTGTGCGCCGGGATGCGCTGGGAGCCGCGGCCCTTCCCCACCAGGAAGTGCACGTCGCTGAGCACCTCGTTGTTGAAGAGGAACGCGAACCGCTCCTGCACCGTCGGCTTCGTCGCCTGCCAGTTGTACACCGGCTCCCGCTGCAGCGCCCCGCCGGGACCGCCCGCCCCGCCGGCCGCCCCCGCCGCTCCCGCCGCCGCCGGGCCCCCCGCGCCTCCGCTGGCCGCCGGCGGGTTGGCGGCGCCGCTCTGGTTGTAGGTGAGGCCGGGCGGCGAGGCGGGCGCGCCGTTGGTGCAGGCGGCGGCCGCGGCCCCGTTGCCCGGCGGGGGCGGTGGCGGCTGCGGGCAGGAGGAGGAGAGGCCGCCGGGGCCCCCGCTCCCTCCGGCCGCCATCTTGTGCGGCGGGGCCGCGGGGGCGGGCGGCGCGGGGCGGCGCTGCAGCAGCACCAGCACCAGCAGCGGCGGGCGGGACACGGCGGCGGGCGGGCCGGGGACGGGGGCGAGGGCGGCGGAGATGTCGGCGGTGGCGTCGATGGCGGTGGCGTCGAAGGCGGTGCGGATGCAGAGCGCCGGGCAGCAGCGGCGCATGGGGCGGGCGCCGCCGCCGGCCGGGCACGGGGGGAGCGGCGGAGGCGGTGGCGGGGCGGGGAGAGGGCGTGGGGCGGCGGGCGGGGCCGGCACGGAGGGGGAGGATGGAGAGCGATGCGAGGGGGAGTGAAGAGATGATCCCTAAGGGAGTGATTCCTGAGGGGGCGATCCTTGAGGAGGATGAGGGTCCATCCCTGAGGAGCACTTTTGGAGATGAGGGGGCGATCCCTGAGGGACGACCCCTGAGGGGCTCTTTTGAGGGTAAGGGAATATTTCCCTGACGAGCAATATAGGGGAGCAATACCTGAAGGGCACTTTTGGGGCAAGAGGGGATGAGACCCTGAGGAACCAGTGTGGAGGAGTGAGAGAGGCAATTTTGGTGGGCGATCCCCGGGGACGGCTTGGGGGATGAGGGGACGATCCCTTAGGGAGAGTAAGGGGATGATCCCTGAAAAGGATGGGGACTATCCCTGGGGATCAAAGGGCGCAGACCTTGAGGACGAGAGGGTCAGTCCCTGAGGGACGGTTTTGGGGACGAGGGGGTGATCCCTGAGGAGGAGTAAAGGGTGATCCATGAGGGAGTAATTCCTGAAGATGATGAAAGGCCAAACTTGAGGGACAGTTTTGAGGATAAGGGAGCATTTATCTGAGGAGCAGCGTAGAGGGGCAGCAAGAGGAGCGATCCTTGAGGGGCCATTTTGGGGATGAAGGGGCAATCCCTGAGGAGGATGAGAGCACATCCCTGGGGTGAAAGGGACCATTTCTGAGGAGCAGGGGAAAAGGAGTGATTCCCTGAGGAGCAATGAGGGGGGCAGGGGGTGAGGGAAGCAATCCCTGAGGGGTGGTTTTGAGGGATAAGGTTCCCTGAGGAGCAGTGTGGGGGAGTGACAGAAGCAATCCCTGAGAGCCAGTGGCGATTCCCCGAGGAAGACAAAGGGGAGCAATCCCTGAGGAGAATTTTTGAGGGGTAAGGGGAGCATCCTGTGAAAGGGCTTATTCTGAGGAGGATGAGGGAGCCCAGAGAGCAGTTGGTGAAGGGATGAGAAATGGGGGTGCAGTTCACAGAGAAGAGGTTAAAGGGCTGAAGGGGGTCAGTGCTGGGGGTGAGGAGTCAGGGTTTGGGCTGTGTGGACGTGGAGGTGAAGTGGGGGTTTTCTCTTCATGATCTCGCACACCAGCCATTCCTCTGCAGCAGACCCAGGCCTCCAGCATTTCCAGACCCCTGTTTCATGGCCAGCAATTCCTCACAATAATCAGCTCAGAGTTAGTGGCTGCTGCTGCTGACACAGGCCTGGAGGACACGACATTACCAGGCCCACCACAGGTGTTGCCCTGCACAAACCCAGGAGCCACAGCACCCTGATCCCTCACCTGGTCATGCCCTGCTGCTCCTGCTGGACCTGCTCAGCCAGAAACCACTGGCCAGTGTTGTCCCCATTGATGGCATCTCCTCACCAGGCAGCACGAGGTGGAGATGGTGTGGGGGCAGGAGCCACTGCAAAGCAGAAGATTAATTAAGAGGCTGTGCCACTGCCTCGCTGTGATCTCAGTAACTGAACCGTTAAAGTGATTTATTCTTCAAAGGGTAATTACATTCACCCTCTCTCTGTTATCCATCCCCTGATCTGTGCTGCACACACACCCAGTCAGGAGCAGGCGTGTGGTCTGTGAGTCGATGTGTCAGAGGGGAGATGGCCTGGCTGCCCCTTCTGCTTCCTGGGCCTTGGCATTACAGCTTCTGGAGCACAGAGAGACGTGCTGTTTGTATGGACTGTGTGCTGTTTATGTGAATTGTGTGCTGTTTGTGTGAATTGCGTGCTGTTTGTGTGAATTGTGTGCTGTTTGTGTGAATTGTGTGCTGTTTAGGTGAATTGTGTGCTGTTTGTGTGAATTCAACACTTCCAGACCCTCGCACAGCTCTGGGATCTCCCCATGAGCCCCTATGGCTGGACACAGCAGTGCTGCTACACCATTGATTTTGATTGAGAGCTTCCAACCTGGCTTTGTATTGTGTTATCAATACCCATTTCTGCTGCGTTCTGTGCTGTCAGGTTTCTTGCTGCATTTTTAAAGCTGCATTTCACATGGACAAGTTTGGGAAACTCCCATGGACAGCTCTTGTCTTAACAGTCCCAGTGCAGACAGGAATGAGTAGGAGCCTTTAGAATCAGAGAACCACAGAACCATAGAGTCATTAATACTGGTAAACATTTTTAGGATCAAGTCTAAGCTGTTACCCCAGCACCACCACCATGTTCACCACTAAACCATGTCACCACACGCTTTTTTGAGCATTTCCAGGGCTGGAAGCACTTACAGCATTTTAGAGTATCTATTTAGAGTATTAGAAATAGTGTTTTTCAGAGGAACAGTAGTTTTTTCTGTGAACTCTTTCATTTATTAATAATAACCAGGCATTCAGTACAGCAGTATATTCTCTCTTAAAACGCTGCATCCTTTACTGTTTAACACCATTCTCTCGGCACATCACTCCCCCCTTTCTGGCCGCGCATTTCAGCGTCACACTTTTCCCTCGGGGCCGTGCAGCCTGGCCGCCCGCCCGCTCCCTGCTCAGGCCTGTCCTGCTTGCGGATGCTCCTTTCGGGCCAGAAACATTAGAGGGAGCTGGAGACTCGCCGTGCCCGGCTGGATGGTTGGACGTGTCTGATAGCTGACAGGAATGGCCTGGAGGCACGTCCCAAGCGCAGGGGGGCCCTGGCTGTGTGATCCCGGATTTTGCAGCTCCAGGAGTGCCACTGAGGGGCTCCTGCTCTGCCTGGGAGCTGCAGGATCATCCAGCCCAGCCCATGCTGCTGCTGGAGGCTGAAGTTTCTTCACTATAGCATTCCCTGCTCCAAAATCCCAGCAAAGTCATCCTCGAGAAACTGTGGTGCCTCCGGGGTGCCTGCCAGGGAGGACCAGAGCTTCTACATCACTTGGAGAGGGGATTCCACACCCGTTCAATCCTGATCTTCCCAGCACCACCAGCCTGCTCTGTCCTACGCTCACCGTGCCAGCCCTGCCACCCTGCACCAGACTGATCCTGGGTATTCAGCCAGTGGTGAAATAAATTTGGTTGTGATTTGGTTGTGGCAGGAGCCAGAGGCTTAACTCGGGACCAGTGCAGGGAAACACAGCCGTGGATATCAGGGATAATGGCCCAGAGATTTGTGAGGGACACTCACCATGGTGCTGTGGGATGGGGTGAGGGCTTGCTGCAGTGACCCAGCACCAACACCACAGTGATCAGTGGTTTGTTAGACCAGAGAAGTTAAAAGATGAGTGTCATACAGGAGATTTTACAATCCCAAAAATAAACCTGGGAACAAAAGCTCCTGTAAAAGCTCCAGCATCATTATTTCTGGGTCTGGTAGCCACCAGATTCCCTCAGAGATCAGGCACTGGGCAAAGGCAGTGCTGTTTTAGCTGGACCATTCACAGGGTGAACAAAAGCCTCGCCCCAGCATTAGCACTGGGCAGGGAAATTACTGGGGTTCAGCTGGTGGGATGAAGGCTGACCCCATCCAGGGCTGGACATGAAGGGTCTCACAAGGCTACGAGCAGCTGGAATGAAACCAGTGGGACTGGAATGCTCAGAGTTGGACAGCAGAGAACATCGGGCCTTTCTTCACCTCGTGGAGGCAGAAAAAAACATTTAGGATGTGTGTTGCAAGCAAAAGCCAGGCAGAGGCAGCTCACCCCTGGCTGAGCAAATCACCTCAAAGGAGGCATTTTCAGATGTAAGGAAGCTCCAAGGAAGACTGCATGGCAAAGACAGAGACATCCTGGGTGTGAGCCAGAGGAGGGCAAAGTGACACTTGCCAAACCCTGCCAAGCCTTGATCTAAACCTCCAGCCACGTGAGAAGGTGAGTCACAAGGCCCAGGGCCCACTCCAGCCACGGGCACAGCTCTCCCAGGTTTTGGGAAAACCTGACCCTGCTCTGCTTCTGCTGACCACAGCTCCCATTGCCCGTGGGATTCCACCCAGAGCTGGAATCCTGTGGGAAAGCCACACCTGCACCCCATGGCTCTCCAAAATTCACACTTCATCATCCAAAACCACAAACAAGGCTGACCAAGGCCTTTTCCAGACAGTGGAGGAAACAGACGTGCCATGCTGTGCCAGTGCCACTGAGGCTCCTGGGGCAGAGGGAGCAGCAACAGGAAACACAGGCAAGGCCAGACCTGTGTGCTGGGCTCTGCTGGGGTGCACATCACTCACTCCCTGAGATGACTTCAGAGGGAGAACCACCACACACCAGTCAAAATCACACCAAAATGGTATATCCTACCAAAAAGCCACCCCAGACAGGTTTGTTTGGGTTGCCTGGATAGGAGACATGATTCTCCGCAAAATGCACAGGAGTTCTTTCCTTCTCTGCCCCATCCCAGAAAACATTTTAAAAGCACAAAAAGGAAAATTAAATATTTTTTTGATCCAAAATAGCTGTTTTTCATCAAAACACACTTCACACCTTCCACTCTGCATTGCCCAGTGCAGGCTTGGGGTTCACTGATGGCTCAGGAGAGTGGTCTGGTCTGAGGGAACGCATGCTCTTGACTCCAGGGTGGTTTTTAGGTAGATGTTGAATCAAAATGTTGGCTAATCACCCAGATCATCTGTCACCAGCAGAGCTGGGCTCAGACCCTAAATACTGAGGACACTTCATCTTTGCTCCTGCCCAGCTGCCTCGGTGCCCTGGGCTGAAGCCAGATGTGACCCCCAGCGCTGTGGCCACTCAGACCCAGCCATGATCTGATGGCTCCCTTAAATCCTGAAGACAGGCGGACTGGCACAAGCCACCACGTCACCCAAAGCCTGGCTGACCCCCTACATCAGCCAGGCCACCCTGGTGGCTCTGCAGTGGCCCCTTCCCTCTGGGCCAGTGTGGGCAGCGTTGGTGCTGCTCCTGCTGCGGGGCTTTTCTCCAGTGCAAATCCACGCCAGGGTATTTATAGCACCCTTGTCCCAGCGGAGCCTATTTTGGGCTGATGCTCAGGCACCAGAGCAGCACAGGTTATTTTAACCCAGTGCTGGGTTATTTTCAGAGCTGCCCTTCTCTGCACGTGCTCAAGAATGGTTTCCAGCTACCAGGCACTTTCTGGGGTTGGGGAAACTGGGGAAGGGGGGAGAAGAGGGACCATGCAAAGGAATGTCAGAGATTTAAAGTTAAACCAGCATCTGCAGCAAAGCTGCCTTTGACACAGCTGTCTGGGATCCACCTGGAATCTTGGAAGGAGGATTGTCTGCAGGATAACCCCCGAGCAAAAGTCAGGAGGGGAAAGATTTCTGGAGCACAGAGCTGAGGGCCCAAGACAGTGAAACAATATGAGAGAGAGGAAGAAGAGCCAAGAGCTGGATGCTTCTAAAATCCACCAGCTCATGGCCCCAAGTACAGGAGGGAGCAATGGCTTTGTTCAACAGAGGCAAGAACATCACCATGGGATGGGAAATGCTCCTCATCCTCTGCATGCAGGGAACCCCAGCTCTGTTCTCACCACATGTCATCCTGGAACAGCTGGGTGAGACTTCTGGAGCCATCCTGTCCTGATTCAGACACTGCAAGAAGCAGCTGCAGCATTTATCAAGCAGTGAGCCTGGGTGTCAGCAGTGCTGCAGTGGGGCTCTCTCAGCTCAGAGCTGGGAGCAGCAGCTGGTCCATAGCAGAGCCCAAGCCCATTCCCCAAACCAGGGGTACCATGGATGGAGTTCTGCCAGAGCAGGAGCACCATGGCAATAGCACCCAGAGGGATCCAGCTCCATCCCCCAGCACAACAGCAGGGCTGGAGAAGTCAGGATTTTAAAATTTCTTTTTAAATTCCACAAGGTCTTGCTTTGTCTATATAAGAAAGCTCAGCAGGGCCTCTACACCCCTTTTCCCACACCCTGATCCCCAGCCTCCAGACCACATTGCCTTGCCTATCCCACCACACTTCCCTCTTGTCTCAGTGTCCCACTGTGCCCCATGGAGGCGTGGGGGGATGTGCCAGGGATGCCTCTGGGGGTGGCAAGGCAGTCCCAAGGCCACTGGGTGCAGCTGGCAGTGAGCACAGCCCTGCCCCGTGGCCTCCAGCTCCCATTGGGATGGAGAGGATCACACCATGCTGCTGGGAAAAGTGAGTCAGGGCCTGAGCCACTGCCAGCCCCTATTCCTGGCATCCCACCCCAGCCACGCTCCCAGCCCCCGTGGGCCAGCAGCAGGCTGGCAAGGAACAAGTGAAAGTTGGGAAGGATTATGAGGGAGGAGCCCCTGGATGGAGTGCCACTCACCTCCCCAACTTGCCCCATCCCCCCCACAACTTGCCCCACCTGTCACAGCCACCTACCCACCATGTAGGTCTCAATGCATTTTTATTAAATTCTTACAAAACAGAATACAAAATTCTGGCATCAACAATTGTTATAAAGGAAAACTTCAATTCAGCTGTATCAGGTCACCTGGTACATACAGTAAAGTGCTTCTTTTTGTGTGGTTTTTTCTTTTTTGTTTTTGTTTTTTTTTGTCTTTTTTTTTTTTTTTTTTTTTTTTTTTTTTTTTTTTTTTTTGTATTTTCGTTTTTATTTCCCAGCCAGCCTCCGAGCAGAGGCTGCTGTTGCACAAACCAACAGTGCGTTAACGTGACTCTTGTTGAACCAGCTTTGGCAGTCTTCATCAATTGTAAAGTGGAGAAAGTTTCTCCTGGTTTGATAAAAAAGAGTTAGCTTCACAGTAAACGTTTCTAACCAGTTCTAAGTCGAGTTAGTTGGCTGGAGGAAGGATGGGGGGGAAGGAGAGGAAGTGAAAACACTTAACATTTCCAGCTTAAAAAAAAAAAAAAAATTTGAAGTTGGTTTCCAAGATAGATGCTCTATGGGAGGGAAAGCTTGGAAAGAGAAGAGGAGGAAGGAGGTTGGTGAGAGGGGGTCGCTGGTGCTGGACCATGGGAGCATCTGTCTGGAAACCGCCCCGGGAGAGGTGCTGGCAGCAGGGAGGGGCTGTCCAGCCCTAGCACAAGAGTGTCCCAGCCATCCCTGCCCTGCTGGGCCACCTCTGGGTGCCCAGCGCTGCCACAAGCCAGGCTGGAGGTTTTCCAGTCGATCCCCAGCTCTGGAGGCATTTAAAGATTCTCTACCAATGCACAGCCCCGGCCATGGGTCACCCCCGAGTACCACACCAGGAGCGCTGTCCAAGCCGAACCACACCCAGAATGTGAAGCCCAGCCCGGGCCGAGCTCGGATGCTCCCAGCACATCCTCCAACTCCCACAGCATCGTCTGGCTGCACATCCCTGGCCAAGGACACCCACGGGACACAGGCAGGGTCACCCAGGCCTTCCCCAGAGTGCATGGTGTACTTTATATATACAGATATAAAAGAGATCGCTCTTACTCGTGGGGAAAAGGGGAAAACTCAGTTTGCCAACAAAAGCAGCACGGGGGACAGATAAATTATGGAGACATCCCCCTGCCATCCCCTTCCCATGATTTTTTTTGTTTTTTAAAAAAAGGCTGCGGCGTGCAGCATCAATGATAGCTTCACAATACCAGCTCAAGGCATCGCGTACTGTACATCATTCAAGTATTTCTTAATATAAGACAACAAGGAATTATCTACAACTGATAAAACAAAATAAGCTATAAAAAGTAACAATGTACAATCAAGATGGATTTTTTTTCTTTCTGTTAAAGGAGGCCTCTCCAGGGTGTCCTGGTGCCTGTGGGGGGCATTCCCCTCACCACTGCCTTGCTCCCTCCCACCCGGCACGGTGGGACCGGGACACACGGGGGAGGGGGAGATCGCAAGTGCGAGGCAGTTTTTGGGGGGTGAGATGGGATGGAGTCATCCTCCTCAACCCCCCTGGGTCAGCAGAAAGGCTGGGAAGGGTGAGAGAAGATGGCCCCTGCCCTAAAAACTCCATCAACACCCGAGATCATCATCTCCCAAGGTAACTCACACACACCTCCCTGAAACAAAAAACAACATATATTGCATAGTATTGCTGTCAGCAGTCTTAAAAAGGAGAACTTTCTTTTTTTTCCAGAGACAGCGACTGTCCTCAGCTGAAGACCCAGGGAAGTCTGTTCCCCAGCTCAGAGCTCCCAAACCCTCACCTGTGCACGTGATGGGCCAAGGCTGCTTTTGCAAACTATAAAGCTCAAAGCACTGAGTCGGAAGGGACAGGAGGTGGCTATGAAGGGGGCACTGCCCTCCCAGGAGGATGGGGGCTGGCAGCGGGTGCAGCTTGGTGGCACAAGCCAAAGCAGTGCCTGTGGCAGGGAGCAGGGGGTGTCAGGGGGATCTGGAGGCACTGGGGGCAGCTGGGGGCCAGTATGGCCCCAAGCACGGGCACTGCTCTCCTGGACAGACCCAGAAACCAGCCAAGGACCTCACCCCCAATCGGGGGAAGGACCCCCGAGTCCTTCCACCCCAAAGCAAACTCCAAGGAAAGGACAATGCCATGCACACCTGAACACACGTGAGCAGGGATGCAGGTGCATGACCATGCACACCAGCGCTCTCTGACTGCTAAAGACCCTGCTTCCCTGACCCCAAACCTTCCAGCCCCATATCCTGAGCTGTCCCCAGGATGTTCCCCCGTACCTTGGACTTTGGATGCTGCCACCAGCCTGGCTGCTTACCCACTGGCACCCCTGGGGCACTGGGCAGCCTTTGTGCTCCCTAACCCTCCTGCCATGGCAGCCTCGGGGCCAGCCCAAAGCCACGGCAGGGCTCACTGTCCTGCAGCAGGTCTCGATGCTCTTTAAGGGGGTCCTTGCTTCCCACAGAGCACACAACTCCCAGAGAGTGTTTCTGGCTGCTCTGGCCACCCTGAACACCTCATCCCCGTTGCACCTTCCCAAGGGCACCAGCCCTTCCAAAACCCAGGATGCAACACCTGACCTGCCACAAGAGCACAGCCCTGGATGCCCATGCATTCCCTGGGGAGCTGCCAGCCAGAGCGTGGGAGGAAAGGAAGACATTTCTCCATGCCCTGTAGAGAAGCACAGCTGGCAGTTTAAAACCAACAGTAATTAAAAATGGAGAGAAAAAAAAAAAAAGGGGGGGGGGGGAGCAAAAAGAAGAAGAGAGGTGAATAGCTTATTCTGGAAGCAGGATGCTGAGGAGAGAGGCTGGGTTGGGCGCTGCTCCCTTGCTGGCACCATCTCTCCCCAGCCCGAGCAGTTCCCTGCACAACGCCCACAGTGTCCCCCTGGAGCAGAGCTGGGGACACCCCCGAGCACAGGACAGGGGCTCCCCACACCCGGGAGGTGCCTCCCGGACCCCCAGGAAGGAGCTTTTTGTGGGATCTAACCCAGCATCATAGAGAAACCTGCAGCTCTGAGGGGAGGGACGAGGTTAAAACGCAACTCCCGTTGTTGAAAACACGGCCGAGGGTCTTTTGTTCACAGTATGAAATGAGCTGAAATCGTCAAAGCAGCCGCAGATATAAGGAGTCCTTTGGTGTCGGGGAGGGGGGAAAATGTCAGAGGAGAAACCAAAAGCCAGGAAACAAAAGTCCGTGTGTCTGTCGGATGTCCTTGAGTGTGCCCTGGGTGAAGCAACCTCACACTTGATTTAATACCTTTAAAAAAAAAAAAAAGATCTTAAACAAACCCTCCCACCCGCAGACCTACAAGATCAGCAAAACCTTGGAAACCAGCCACAGGGACGAGTCCTGATCTTGTCACTAGCCAGAAACGGTGGGGTCGGGGGGAAAGGAGAAGAAAGAAAGGAGGAGAAGGGGGGACAGGGGGTACAGCAGGTGCGAGGGGCACCGCTCAGGCTTGGTCGGCCACCAGGACCAGCGGGGCCACCAGGTGCTGCCCAGAGGCCACTGCCTTGGCCAGGCTGCTCTTCTGCCGCCGCTTGGCCAGCTTGGACTCAGAGGGGGGGGAGAGCTGCATGGCCCGTGAGGTAGCTTTGATGATGATGGGTCGTGCTTCCTCCTCCGCCTCTTCCTCCTCGTCCTCGTCGTGCCGTGTCAGCTGGCGGTTGACAGCGATGGCCTCAGCAGCAAAGGAGGTGAGCTCTTTGGCACTGCTGTTCCTGCAGGGGAGGGACGGGCTCAGGGGGGTGTGGGGGCTGGAGGGAGGTCAGGGTCAAATATCTGGGTGTCCTTCCTCACATACTGGTCATGCCAGACTGCTCAGACACCAAAAACATGGCCCAAACCCGCAGCAGCAGGGCTGCCCAGACACAGAGTTGCGGCAGAGCCCCCAAAAAGCAGAAGGAACGGACGGTAGTGAGGAGTGGAGTCAGGATTCAGAGGGCTGGGGGTGCCCCAGAGCAGCCCACACTCACCTCTGCAGGATGATGGGGGTTGGCAGGGTGTTATCCGGGGCACACTGCAACAAAATGCAGCCAGTCAGAGCCAGGATTGTGCAGACAGGTGCTCCCCATGCCGGCTTTTGGGAGCAGTGAGCAGGGAGGGGACATCAACACTCACCCCCTGCACCCAGGGGTGCTCCAGGACCTGGGCTGCGCTGAGCCGCTTCTTGGCATCTCTCACCAGCAGCTTGGAAATGAGGTCTTTGGCTCCAAAGGAGATGTGTGCCCAGTCCTTGTCAGGAAACTCATACTTCCCCTCCTGAATACTCTCAAAGAGCATGTTCTGAGCAGAGGGAGAAACAACAAGGGGCTCAAGCCAGGAGTGCTGCAGCCAAACTGGGGCTGGGTTTGGGCTCTGCTGGGGTCCCCCACGCACCTGGCAGGTGTGGCACGCCTCGCCCCGGTCCCAGCCACAGTCGGAGCCGCAGTGGCCCACGAAGGGGGGGTACCCGCTCAGCATGATGTACAGGATGACACCCAGGCTCCACAGGTCACAGCGCTTGTCGTAGATGGAGGCCTCCTCGTTGAAGGCTTCCACCACCTCCGGGGCCATGTACTCAGCTGAGCCACACTGTGGGGACAGCAAGGTGAGTCCTGAAGGGTGGGGACAGGGGGACCGGGAGGGTCCTGCCAGATCTCCAGGGCTGCACCTCTGAAGGGAAGGTGCAGGTGTGGCTGCTCCCCAGATTTGCTCTCGCCACATCACCCTGCAGGGATTTCCCACCACAGATGATGCCACAGACCCGTCACTCTAGGGTCACCCAACAGCAGCTGCCACGCCGAAGGGGAAAAAAAAGAAAGCCTAAATGGTGCAACTCCCATGGTGCAGGACAGCCGGACCCGCAGGACCCACAGCAACCCGACTGGCTCAGCAGGGCAGCCCCAGCGGCCACAGCACACGGTGGGACGAGCCCGCTGTGCCCGTTCCCCTGCCCGCTCCCCGGCCCGGCCCAGGCGGAGCTGCCGCGCAGGATCCGGGGCGGGAGGAGTTAACCCCGGTGCAGGGAGCGGCAGAGCCAGCGGCCCCATTCCCCTATCGCTCCAGGGACTCTGGGGCTTTCCAGCACATGACCCGCAGCCCACACAGGCCCCGTGACCAGGGCAGAAAAGAGCTGCAGCCAGCAGATAATCGCCCCGTAACGAGAGAGGCCTCCTGACCAGGGGCCTCTGCAGCCCCAGCAGCTGATGGCACCGCAGGAAAACAAAACCCCCTTCCCCAGCCCCGATCCCGGCGGGATGGAGCGGCCGCCCCCCACGGGCTGAGAACGGGGAAACTCGGGACCCCTCCGAACTCAGATCCCGCCCCGGAGGAGGGCGGACGTGCAGGAAGGAGGGGCCGGGGTGTTGTGACCCCCGCCCCTGCTGTCGTGCACCCCGCACGGGCTCGGTTCAGCCCTCCCCGGCACGTTCGCACCCCAAAAAAAACGGGGTGCAGGACGATACCCTGCGAGGGGGGGCAGCTGCGGCTGGCGATAAGGAGAGCGGGGCTTTCTTCAGGAGATCTGTGCGACACGGGGGCAGCCGGCAGCTCTCGGGGTGTCCCCCTGCCCCGCACCCCGCAGGCTCGGCCCCCTGTGCCTCGCCCCCCAGCCCGGTGCTGACCCAGTTCTCCCCGGCAGGCTCGGCGCAGCCTCTCGGGCTGTTGCTAAGGCTCACGGCAGCCCGGGCGCTGCGCCAGCCCCCCCGGCCCCCCCGCGTTATGTAACCGCATCTCGCCCGGCACAGCGCGGGGGGGGAACGGGGGACACGCAGCATCAGCGACAGCAGCGACGAGCAGGGGGTGTCCACGCACAGCCCTGATCCTGCAGCCTGCAGGGCAGCTGAGGGGGTCCCCTGGGACAGATCTCTCCCCAAATGTGGGGGGCTCACACACTTACCGGGGTGAGCAGCTCTGGAGTGGAGATGGGGGAGCAATCGCCGTTCAGTTTGATGCCACTTCCCAGGTCAAAGTCACAGATCTTCACTGGGGAGACCTGGGGAGAGGGGGAAGGAGTGGTCGGTGACCCCCTGGCATCCTCAGGAACCACAGCTGGCAGCCCCCCGGGGACCACAGCCCTGTTCTCAGGCCACAGCTGCTCAATGCCAGGTTGTATCATGCTTCACACCATGCTATGCTGCGGCATATGGAAGGTGTGTGTGTCCCTGGCAGGACCCTCCTACACCTCCCCACCTCAGGAATCACCCCACTGTGCCAGCCCCCCCAGGCAGCACACCCTGCACCCACCCCGGCTGCTCCCTGCTCACCTGGTCCGGGCTCTCACACAGGATATTTTCTGGTTTCAGATCCCTGTGTGCAATCCCTGGGGGCAAAAGAGCCAATGAGGGTAAAAATCCCCCTCCTACAAGACTGCTGTAGTGTAAAGTCTGGGGATGGCACAGGGACCCCTCCCTCTCCACCCCAAATCACTGCCTGCACCCTAGCAAAAGGCAAAATTTGCTGCTGGCCCTGAATCCCAACCAAACTGGAGGAACAGGATCTGCACCACAAAAAGCCTTGTGATGCAGCTGAGCCTGACCCTGTGTGCTGGGTTGGGCACTGTCCCCTGGGGAGGAGGAGGATGGGGGGAGGCAGTGACACCCCCCACAGGGCCCAGCACACCCCAAGGTGTCCTCAGTGGCACCTGGGGTGTCCCAGCTCACCTTTGTTGTGCAGAAAGTGCAGGGCGCTGGCGATATCCTTCACCACCACGCTGGCCTCCAGCTCATTGAAGTGGCGTCTCCGGTGGATGTGGGTCAGGATGGAGCCTGTGGCCAGGTGAGAGCAGAGCTGGGGCTCATGGGGGTCCTGGCACCCCAGCCCCCCTCGCCCCGGGGCCACACTCACCTCCCCTCATCTTCTCAAACACCAGGTAAAACCTCTCCTCCTCCTCGAAGAACTCAATCAGCTCCAGGACATTTCTGCAGGGACCATGGCATCAGCCCAGCATCCCCCCAAAAACACCTCCTGGGGTCCCCCCACACCTCCATCCAGCACAGGACCCCGGGAGGGATGCGGGATGGGAAAACTGGGCTTGCAGTGATTGAAACCACACGGCCAGGGCCCCCCTGGCCACATTCCATGGGGGAGAGGGGCTTGCAGCGCCCGGCTCCGCTCCTCCCTAATTGCTCACAGCCCCTCCTGGCTCACTGGCCCGCCCCACACAGAGCTCCGCACACAGCAAACACACACAGAGCGCCGCGCACGCACACACACACACACACACACACAGCCCCACACACAGCAAACACAGCCCCGCACACACACACACACAGCCCCGCACACAGCAAACACAGCCCCGCACACACACACACACAGCCCCGCACACAGCAAACACACACAGAGCCCCGCGCACGCACACACACACACACAGCAAACACACACAGAGCGCC